ATTTTCTTCAAACTTGGTATACTTATTCCTTATACCCCAAGGAAGATCCCTATTGTTTTTGGTGCATGCCCGACCCCCCGGGGCAGAGCCACGCCCATTTCTAGTATTTGTTTGTTTGTCGTCTACAGGCCACATTTCTTAACTAATAATCTTGAAACTTTGCATACACATTCTTTGTACCCTAAGGAACATCCCTATCGTTTGGGGTGCATGCCCAACCCCCAGGGGCAGAGCCACGCCCATTTTCTTTTCGTGTGTCTTTGTGTCGCCTACAGGGCGCAATTCTTACTGGATTTTCTTCAAACTTGGTATACTTATTCCTTATACCCCAAGGAAGATCCCTATTGTTTTTGGTGCATGCCCGACCCCCAGGGGCAGAGCCACGCCCATTTCTAGTATTTGTTTGTTTGTCGTCTACAGGCCACATTTCTTAACTTATAATCTTGCATACACATTCTTTGTACCCTAAGGAACATCCCTATCGTTTGGGGTACATGCCCAACCCCCAGGGGCAGAGCCACGCCCATTTCCCATTTTCTTTTCGTGTGTCTTTGTGTCGCCTACAGGGCGCAATTCTTACTGGATTTTCTTCAAACTTGGTATACTTATTCCTTATACCCCAAGGAAGATCCCTATTGTTTTTGGTGCATGCCCGACCCCCAGGGGCAGAGCCACGCCCATTTCTAGTATTTGTTTGTTTGTCGTCTACAGGCCACATTTCTTAACTTATAATCTTGCATACACATTCTTTGTACCCTAAGGAACATCCCTATCGTTTGGGGTACATGCCCAACCCCCAGGGGCAGAGCCACACTTTATATACTTATTCTTTGTACCCTAAGGAACATTCCTATCATTTGGAACATCCTTATCATTTGGAGTAGGCCCTACATGCCCAACCCCCAGGGGCAGAGCCATGCCAATTTTCTTTTTGTGTGTCGCCTACAGGCCACAATTCTAAATCGATCATCTTGAAACTTAAAATACATATTCCTTATACCCTGAGGTTGGTCCCTTTTCTTTTGGGTGCATGCCCGATTTTGGGGAGATAACTCCATTTAACAATGTCAAACTCCATTTAACAATGTCAAACTGACGTGATATGCTTTAAATAGTTGTCACCCATGTAACATTCGGGTTTTTGTGAGTGGTTTCTGAGAGCCTTTGTTCAACTTATTTTTCAGAACGCTTTGTAAGTGTTAGAAGTATTTATACCGGTTATTTGTTGACGTTTCAAACCACCGTTTTCTCCCCCTCTCCTCCCACTGCTAAAGACCTTTTGGTACTGCAATGACAATGTCTCTCTCTCTCTCTCTCTCTCTCTCTCACACTAAATAAATTATAAATTCATGTAACTGCAAGTACATGTGCGTTTTCAGGATGTACATTTTTAAAAAGTCTTATGTTTGGGTGTCATTCGTTATTATAATTTAGTACCAAATTTATTATTAATAATTTTTTATTATTAATGTGGACGTATATTGCCGTCGCCCCTGTATGTGTGTGTCTGTGTGTCGCCTACAGGCCACAATTCTTAAGTGATCATCTTCAAACTTTACATACTTATTCCTTATACCCTAAGGATGATCCCTATTGTTTTTGGTGCATGCCCTACCCCCAGGGGCAGAGCCACAGCCATTTTTTGTATTTCTTTGTTTGTCATCTACAGGCCGTATTTCTTAACGTATCATATTGAAACTTTGCATACTTATTCTTTGTACCCTAAGGAACATCCCTATCATTTGTGGTGCATGCCGATCCCCCAGGGACAGAGCCACGCACATTTCCTTTTATGTGTCTGTGTGTCGTCTACAGGTCACATTTCTTAAGTGATCATCTTGAAACTTTACACACTTATTTCTTATTATACCCTATGGATGATCCTTATTATTTTTGGTGCATGCCCAATCCCCAGGGGCAGAGCCACCCCCATTTCTTGTATTTGTTTGTTTTTCGTCTACAGGCCGCATTTCTTAACGTATCGTCTTGAAACTTTGCATACTTATTCCTTATACCCTAAGGATGACCCCTATTGTTTTATGTGCATGCCCTACCCCCAGGGGCAGAGCCACAGCCATTTTTTGTATTTCTTTGTTTGTCATCTACAAGCCGTATTTCTTAATGTATCATATTGAAACTTTGCATACTTATTCTTTGTACCCTAAGGAACATCCCTATCATTTGTGGTGCATGCCGATCCCCCAGGGACAGAGCCACGCACATTTCCTTTTATGTGTCTGTGTGTCGTCTACAGGTCACATTTCTTAAGTGATCATCTTGAAACTTTACACACTTATTTCTTATTATACCCTATGGATGATCACTATTATTTTTGGTGCATGCCCAATCCCCAGGGGCAGAGCCACCCCCATTTCTTGTATTTGTTTGTTTTTCGTCTACAGGCCGCATTTCTTAATGTATCGTCTTGAAACTTTGCATACTTATTCTTTGTACCCTAAGGAACATTCCTATCGTTTGGGGTGCATGCCCAACCCCCAGGGGAAGAGCCACACCCATTTCATCGTTGGGGGTGCATGCCCTACCCCCAGGGGGAGAGCCATGCCCATTTTCTTTGTGTGTGTCTGTGTGGCGCCTACAGGCCACGATTCTTAAGTGATCATGGATGATCCGTATTGTTTTTGGTGCATGTCCGCCTCCCGGGACAGAGCCACGCCCATTTCTTGTATTTATTTTTTTGTCATCTACAGTCTGCAATTCTTAACAGATCATTTTGAAACTTTGTTTACCTATTCCTTATACCCTAAGGATGTCCCCAATTGTTTTTTGGTGATTGCCCAACCCCCGGGGGCAGAGCCACACCCATTTGTTCTTTGTGTCCCCGTGAGTTGCCTACAGGCCACGATTCCTAATGGATTGTCTTTGACCTTGGGCAGAGCCACGCCCAATTTTTGTGTTTATCGTTTACAGGCCGGAGTTCTGAATGGATCAATGTATTTCTTACAGCCTAAGGGCGTCAACTATTGATTTTGGTGAATGCCCAAGCCCCAGGGGCAGAGCCACACCCAATTTTTGCCTTTAGCGCCCGAAGGCCACAATTCTGAATGGATTATCTTGGAACTTGGATTACTTATTCCTTATACGCTAAGGACGGCACCTATTTATATTGTTCCATATCCAACCCCCAGGAACAGAGCCACACCCATTTTTTGTATTTATCCTCTACAGGTTGCAATTCTGAATGGATCATCTTGGAACTTTGCATATTTATTCCTTATACCGTAAAGACAGCAACCATTTATTTTGGTGCTTGCCCCGACCTCCTGGGGCAGTGTCACACCCACTTTTTTGTTAGTATTTTGTCTGTAAATTTGGCAAAACAAACCCAACGCCTAGCCGTCTTTGCCTTTTATCATAATACAGCCATTTCATATTGTAGTTTCTTCTTTTTAAAAAGTACCATATCAATCACTGCTCGAATGTGGACGTATATTGCAGCGTTAGCAATGCTCTTGTTACACTTCTGCCTGGAAGCATCATCATGAAGTCCTTCGGTGTCGCCACTCGCCACTGCGTGCTCATTTGGTGATTGTGTACCTGGTCGGGGCCATTATGTTGATTTATAAACCTATAACGTTAAATTTCTTTGATCTTCGGGGTATGGTATATTCTATGCCAGTAATAACTTGCGGTCTGAAAGTCGGGAAGACTTTGAATGTATACAGGGGAATTTGGGGTTATTCACTGAATAAGAAAACAGGATATAAGGTTTTTCTTACTGGAATTCTGGGATATTCTCATTTTAAGTTCATTTTAACACAGACGGTTTATAAGCAAGAAATATTCCTCAACTTCGGTTATGCTGGGGAAGAACGACTTCAGAATAAACCCTCGAAAGAAGAACCTCGGCCTGTCGGCCTCGGTTTTTCTTGTTCTCGGGTTATTTTCTTCAGTCTTTCTTTCCCCAGCATAAACTCAGTCTCGTGCTTTATCCTGCACATAAACGGTCCACTCTTCCTCTTGTTGACGGTCCAATCTTCGTCTTGTTGACGGATGGACGGAGTGCTGAAATTTAGAGAGAAAAAGGAATGGGGTTTAACGACCACTCGACACAAACTAGGTAATTTCGGGATTAACATAATATGGTTCAATTTTTTTTCAATAATTCGCTTGTGCGTAGGGGTCTTTAGCAATGGGATGAAACAGGAGGACCCGGAGAAAACCCACGAGGTTGGACAGGCGACCCTACTCCTTGTCACGCACAACCGGGGAATCGATGTTGAAATTGAAAACAACACCGAACGTGATATGGTTGCCAAATACTATTTCCAATATAAGCTAAACAATATTTTTTCATTTTTTTTTATTTTGAAGACAAGTGAAGAATTTAGAGAATTTATTTGATTTTTTATACAGTTATAAAGCTAATATTAATATACTGTTGATCTGTATTCTTTTGCTGCTAGGGGATCACGTGGCTAAGTGGGTAAGACGCTGGCTCGCTAGCCTGGAGGTCGGGTGTTCGATCTCTGCATTGGCCGAGAAAGTTGATCCAGATTTTCCGGCGTGGTTTCCCGTTGTCAGTGATGCAGGGCGGAGGGCCTGACAAGGACAGCTGTCTAGTCGTTCGGATGGGACGAAAATTTCCCTCATAGCACACTGTATATATGGCGTATGCCCGTCTTCATAAGCCCAGTTTAGGAGCAAAACAGTAGGACGTTAAACCCCATTTCATTTCATTTTCTTTTGCTGCTCTAACGAAAATGTGAATTTATATGATAAACTTGTTCTTGAAATGGTTCAAAGATATAAATTTAGAAACCACATGTGGGGATAAAACAGCTTTTAAAGGAGACCGGGATAATCTGTACGTTCAGTATTTTAACTGTCTATATTTCAAAAGTGTTGCATATGCCATAATATGAAGGATTTGTTAGATTTCATACTATGGTATAACTCCCGTATAACAACAAAGAAAATGTTCTTCGCGCTCGAGAAATCCACGAAAACCAATGAACGAGATAGGAAAGCACGTGATATGTGAAGCATAGAAGGAAGCGTCATGCGTAACAAACAATCCAGGGAGAATATCGACCAGACTGACTGTACTGCTGACTTGACGAGGGTCTGACATCTATCTAGCCGGCTTTACTGAGACAGTTTGTTGTGTGGTAAATATAGCCTATATTTATTGTTTTTATTTATCATATTGAACTGACGTACATTGACAACACGTTCTATATGCTTGACGATGTTTTTTTTAATAGTCCGTGTGTAAAAATGCAAACGTAATAATTATTTAATACAATAAATAGAACGAACGCAACCCTATATATTATATCCAAGAAGCGATATTGTAGTAACGCGGAAGTATCTACTATACTCTAGCTAACTTGCATTTCTATTTTAAATCCTGGTTACTAATAAATTTATGTTGCTTTGATGATAAAACAAAGATATTACTTCGATAAAATCGTACGCGTAGACATACAGTAGACCATTCAGTGCAACTAAGTTTACAAACAAAACTGCACGTAAAATTACCATCGCACATTCCGATAACATAGTAGCTCAACGATGCCGACAGAGTAAATGTAGTCTTGACCTACCAGTTTTGTGTGTATGTAGGTCATAAAGTATTTTAAATTAGCAATATTAGAATAATTCAAATGGATCAATAACAAACAAAATTATAGTTAAGAAAAATGTACTCAAAACAAGGAGTGTGATTAATTATGTAACATGCCTAGATCATTTAGATGATCATATCATTTTGTTTTGTGCTATGAGGGAAGTTTTCCCCGGACATCAGCACTATGGCTTACTCTTATATTGAATTCCAACTGCCAAGGGATCTTTTACGTGCATGCCAATGTATACACAGGACATCGGTTTTACGTCCATCCGGACAACTAGACAGCTGCCCTTGTCCGGCCCTCCATCCTGCACCACTGACTGGGGAAAACCATGTTGGAAAATTGATGAACTGTCTCGGCCAATGCAGGGATTGAACACCCAACCTCCAGGTTTTGAGAAGGCACACTGTTTCAGGAGATTGTTTATCTATATATGCAACAGTTACCCCTTTGTGCGTAGCGAAGACAGTTTTGTTTAAATTTAAATCCATGGGCTGAAGAAACAGAAATTGAGTAGGCAAATAATTGCTTTGCCACTCAATAATTTATCTGTAATATTTATAATACATGAAACTTTGAACACCAAGCAAAAATTGTCTGAACAATTAAATATTTTTCTCATCCTTGCTTAATAATAATCAAGCCGAGTAACACCACAGGGACTGAAAGTGTGTAGTTGTTAGGATGGTACAAAAAAAATGTACATGAGATTCAATGTCTTACTTTTCTACACACTCTGACTATATAATGAGAAATTTTGCCCTAGACAACTATTGTTGCTCCCAACAGTCTTTTATTTCCATTTCAAACTCTCGAGATCTTTTATGTGCTGCCTGTTATGGTACATGTATACACCTAGGTGAAAAAATATACCAATAAGCCACTGCTCGGGCAAATTACCCAACTTGTAATACACTAGCCATATAAATTACCCATGTTAAGTCTCAAAATGAGGATGTATTTTGTTCAACAGACATTAAACCACACCCCTTTTCTTGTATCAATATCTAACATACATGACTTATCACTAAAGTGAATAACAAAGTGAGATTAGTCATTAGTGTAATAGTATACAGAATTTAACATCGTAATAAACCAAAATAAAAGTTGTTTTCCTAAGCCGATAGTCATTAAAAAATCATAAGCTTATTTTTGCATTTTATTTATAACCATGTCATGGCTAAGTCTATTGTGTTGAGGTTACCTTTCAGCACTGAGTAGAACCAGTTTGTTTCTCAAGGTTCTTGACATTTGGTTTAGGATACAAATCTTGTTGATATTAGAAGCGTGTTGATAATTCTTTCATGATGTTTACCGTATTATATTTCTACTGGTATATTATTGTAGATTATCAGGAGTCCGTAATAATCATGTTGACAATTTAAATCGGTAAAGGATTAGCACCATTTACCCAAACTGCCCAAATCTACCCAAATCCCTCATTATTTCAACTCGTATCACAATAATTTATATCAATATTTGATACAGTTCTGAATGTTACGATTTTAAATTAGAAATGACAATTTCCTATGAAGAATGGTAGTATTATTATCAAATATCTATATATTGGGGAATGAGTAGAAATGTTGGATTTGAGTAGATTTGGGGGGATTTAGGTAAATCGTGCAATCAAAGATAACCCAACCCAACACTACACATTGATGAATACAATTGAATTAAATTGCAAAGTGGTTTAGGCATTAAGCAGGTTAAAAAAAATTCTTGAAACAAAGACTGCTTTCAAAGCCATGGTGATTGCTTTGTTTATTTTAGGGGTGTTTATCTCTGATCATTTAATTATTGTTGAATGACGCATCCTGGGCCTGGCCATTTCAACATATATTTTATCTCTCAAATCTGATATGAAAGTAGATTTATGTTTAGGGCGTGGTTGATAAATTAGATCATGATTATAGATGATATTGATTACATTGTATCATTTTCTCTTGTGTAATATATCCGGATCAATATGAATAGATAAATATGGAGTTGATTTGATTTTATATATAAGGAGGGGGGTGTGTGTGATCGAGTTGTCTAATACTGTATGTGTACTTCAGATCATAAGGTCTGTCATTGAGTCAACTGGCGTTGTTTAGATCCAAAGCTTGCACATGACAAGGAGTAGGGTCGCCTGCCCAACCTTGTGGATTTTATCAGGGTTCTGCAAGCGAATTACTGAAACAAAATTTTATTATGTTAATCCCAAAATGACTTGTTTGTGGCGAGTGGATGTTAAACCTGATTTCTCTTTTTTTATCATAACTGTATTGTAAGTATTATATAAAATGACTAGATTTATTTACTGTTTTCTGGATTAAAGAAAACCCAGATTAAACATTTTATAAATCTATTGAGATTGGTTGTCCAAGAAGTGGATCATAAGTTCTGTCAGTGATTTAAGCATTCATTTGATTCAGAGTTTGTACATGGCGAGGAATATGATCGTCTGCTTAATCTCTTGGGTTTCCTCAGCATTCACTCGTTTCCTTCCACTGCTAAAGACCCTTCAATAAAATTGAAAAATAAAAAGATGCATGTTCGTCTTAAAAAAGTGACTTTAAGTTTTTTTCTCTATTATCTAGTGTGTATAGTATACTAGTAAACCTTTCAAGTTATTTTAGGACATATTGTATATATTGTAGCCATGTCTGTTTAGAATATAAGAGGAATGTAAATCAGTTTAACATGACTCATTATAGCTTGTATTAACTACTTTTCCTGTTAGATATATTTATATACAGGAGGTCAAGGCAACTGGCGAGGTTATCAATTCTTAATGATTAATCATAGTTTTATTGCGAAATCTGTGTTTATTACATTTTTGATATGCATCCAATAAGATATTTTATATATCAATAATTGAATATTTGGATTCGCTTTGGTCTTTCATGTTATGTTGTTTTGTATATCTCAGTTGATATTTTCAAGAATATTTTGTGCTATTCCTTTGTATATAGTATTTCAGCTACATCTTCCCCATCTTTGGTAAAATTTAGTTGTGTGGAAAAAAGAAAATTGTTTTGTAAAACAAATATTGTTTACACTGCATTTGTGTTTTATTCCGTTTTTCATATATTTCATATAAACTGCTGTGTTGTTGCCTGTGTAAACCTGGGTGTCATCTCCATACCTAGAAATAATCAATTTCCACCAAAGGTTAACAAAATTTAACTCATTTTTTTCAAATCTTCAATTCACAATATTCTAGGCTGGAAGGCAAATCGACTGTTAATCTGCAATACACATTAAAAAGTACTAATTGTCAAAAAGAATAATGATCAAAAAAAAAATCATAATCAATCAACCAATCCTAGCATAAATAGAAATTTTGACCATCTAATGTTTGTGTGACAGGATGCTCCTGTCAGGAATTGAATCCTTGACCCCAAGGCACAAATTTGACACCTATCGAGTGAGCCAAAGGGAATTCAACCATGTTAGTCCCAAAATGATGACTAGTTTGTGATTAGTGGACTAAAAACCCATTCTTCCCCCCCCCTGCTTTTATCTCTGATTATTGTGAAATAATTTGTATGAAATAGCCTAGTTTTATTTTGAAATTCAAGGCTTTATATTAATGAGTCAGACATGTATCTTATCTGGCTAGATGTACAAACGGGCCTACTTTAAACTTCCTTCTCAGTTAACTTCCAGCTGATGTTTCTAGTAATACAAGATGTTTATAGTGTAGGTTCATGTTGTGTTGAACTTGACTTGATTAGACCAAAAGTGGAAATTGAGCTCTATTTCTGCTGACTACAGTAGTAGCCATCTTCACTTTGATGCATGCAACGTTAAAATAGATCTTGGCATATTGGAAAACGTATTTTATTATTAGTAATACAGTAGGTAAGAAATAAAATATTGTTATATTAGCCATTTATTACCTTGTACAAATTTATTATCTTAAAAGATTTTATACACTTAATTTACCTGCTTTCTAAAATTTGTTGTGGCATCTAACCACTATTGGGCACAAAACCAGACCCAACTTTTCTATGGTATATTTTTGCGTAGATGCCAAGTGTTTTTGCACTAGGATGGTTTACCACATAAAATATAAAAACTAAAGAGAAATCTGTTCTAATTAATAATAGGAACTTTGCAATGTCGAAAAGACTTTGAAACCTGTTTCAAAAATATGTAAATCTGTCAAATCGAAATCTCTCTAATTTAGTTTGACAATGATTGCTATACATAATGAAACTAGTTGTCGGAATGCATCATCCTGGAACGTGACACTGCCCTTATAGGAGTCAGGCATGCACCAAAATCAAAAGTCGCCATACTTTGGAAGTTCAGAATTGCAGCCTTGGACAATAACCCCAAAATCTGGTGTTGCTGTGTCCCCGTGGGTTAATTGGTCATGCACCAAAAATAATAAGTCATCCTTTGGGTATAAGGAATATATATATGAAAAGTTTTCAACACGATCCATTAAGAATTGCGAAACACACACACACACAAAGAAAAAATGGATGTGGCTCTGACCATATGTTAAGAATTGCAACCTGTAGTTTTCAGGTGTCCTGCAGTGATAGTGTAGCAACATTACTGTACTTTAACTTTCTAAGCAGACAAAAGTTTTCCCCTGTTTTTGAAAGCAAAATTAAATTGAAACGATACTCGCTGTAGCCAAAATGAGTCTTTCTTATTCTACATTAAATGTTGCTCAAAAATGACAAATATGAATGGCCTAAATCTTTCAGAAGTAATTTTAATCTGATTGTCAAATTCCAATTTGTGAAGCGGAATAACCATTTTTGTCTCATTTGGGAGGCAAAATAAAATTAGAACAATTCAATGTAGATCCAAAATGATTACATATTTGTAATCTACACAACATTACTAAATAGACACGTTGAGGAGAATAGGTCATTTAGACGTAATATTAAAATCAAATACCCAACCTTTTTCAGAATTTTAATCTGGCCTCATGGCCAAAACTGAAGGTCAAAATGGGTATATTTTGTACGTTTTCAGTTTGCATTGAATTTCGAGACTGAATATTTGGAAAAGTATATATCCCATCGACTCGAAATCTTTTGTAAATTGATAAAAGACAAACTAACATTAACTATGCCAATTTTGGAGGTTGTGTATGCAATAGTGACTTTGCCAGAGGCTGTTGAAATCCTGAAAAAAAGTGAATAGTTAATTTGTGGCACGAACTGTGTGAATCGCACGGTGTGTGTGATACTAAATTCGTAATCTACACTAAAAGTTGTCTTAGATTACAAAGTTGGAGAGTTCTACTCCTATTAGAAATGTGAGTTTAACGCACCTGAAAACCTGAAAAAAAATTACTGAATCTATGATCCGTTTCAGCACCCTAATTTCAAATGGCCATAACTCAGCGAGTTTTTGACCTATAGAGGTATAATTTTGGATGTTAGCTTTTATTAAGGCCATAATCTATAACAAATATTTTTTGGAGGGGGTCATGTTCCCAACAATCCGAAATTTGTTCCACTTGACTTGGAATGTCACTGAAGAATTTTTAAGGGAGGGGCTTGTTTCGATGGGCACATGTAGCTTCATTTTATGTGGACTTATTTTGGTGGCTTATCTGATATATAGTTGTTTTTATAAATAAGTAGCCTATCCCATCTTTGTATCATTTGTATGTATGTAATTATGACAGCTAGATATATGTGATTCTCTCAAAGTAGGTGTATAAATGCTGTACAAGTTATCCAGCAGTTTGATTTGCATAGACATTTTAGAATTACAGTTGTTAAAATGTTATTTTTATCATTGACTGTTTCTTCTATATGAACAGTTGGTAGTATTGCGAAATTTGTCTTAAAGGACAATATTGGTGCCAGTCATTATCACATATGTGATAGAACTGGTTAAACACGTTCCAGATATTTTATCACAGAGATCATTGCTACGATAGATGAGTAATCAATGTTTCAACAATAGGAAGTGATGAACGCAAAAGGAAAACACAAGTTATCCCTTTATATAACTGAATGAAGTGACGGGTGATAACAGATACATGGGCGAATTTCTGCTCACTAATAATTCCTTCGAAGACCAAAAGTTGTATGCAGACCTGAGAGAGCGAAAAAAAAAAAAAAGCATTTGTTTATGTATAAAACCAGAAGCTATCTGGGATGTTGGATGTATCATCCCAGAAATTTGATATTTTCATAAATTGATTAACATATTTTCTAAATATTGTACAAGTATGATTTGTATGAATATTACTTAATGAGGTATGGCACGTTGGGTGAGTTGTTATTTATAACCTGTTTTATTTCCTCATCTTCACGAGGAAGTTGCAGTAAATAATTTGTTTTTGTTAAAGTAGCTATTATAGTATCTAACTCAGTATCATCCAAAAACTTCGACATTAAAAACATGAATTAGTTGTCAATTTTAATCAACATTGGTGTTGTGATCTTACTGGAAAAAGATGGGCATCTGACATCCAATATATAAGACAAAATAAACATTTTACGATTGGTACACGAATCGTGTACCATAATGCGTCTCGAAGAACAAGGTTAGACATATTCCACAAGTCATGTCAAACGGTGACTACATATTATCTGGAGAGCCAGCGCAATTAATACCATCGGTGTGGACTGGAATAACCAAACGCTAGAGATTGCCATTCGATTAAGAGTTATGGCGTATTTCGCCGAACATAACTGCTTTGAAATTAAGAGTAAAAACGAAAACGATTGAATGTAAATCAGTTTATTTACATTCATATTACATTATTATATATGTTGCGACCCATTTGTGCCAATTTGTAGGTCCCAAATATTGGCGATTTAGCTCCTTTAAGTAATATATTTATTTTATGCACTCCCAATTAATGTTGTGGTATATTGTCATCTCTTTTGGAATTGTATAGAGTGGACTGTTTAATGATTTGAACAGATTATTTAATCCTAAATCTTTACTGGAAAATAAGGTCTGATGCTTTCTGGTTACGATATATTATATATTTCAAACACATCAGAAATAACCAGAATGTTTCACGGAATGGCCAATCTATATTTCGTTTTTTTTTATATACTTCGATTGCTTCTACTACGTGAAGATCTGACCAGTTGTATTGAGAGGTCGCGTCAGAGGTTATACAAGCGGCTTTTGACCCTATGACATCACAACATTTAAATAACCAATTGGCTTTGATGTTTCTAGTAGGATACCCACAGTGCCGTGCATCGCACACCAAGAACTTTCTACAACACACCGTTTCATTGGCTAATCCCTCACTATAAAAATCGAAACAAAATAGAATCTGTTTCAATCAAATTGCGGAATGGCCTACTCCGATGATTATTTCCAACTATATTTGTGCCAGTATCTTGATCCAATGGTAGAAAATCTATTTCATTTATATCAACAAATGTTTAAGTCGAAGTCAATATCTGACCAGCATTATCTGTTTTAATCATAATACAGTAACTTTTCTGTACTTATTTCATTTCAATTCTAATATTGGATTTTTATTGGACCCTTTAATTAACTTCATTTACACAAATTTATTATACAAGTAGTGGTATCAGGTGTTCTATAAATCCATTGAATTAATGATTCTCCCATGTTTAACTTTTGTTTACTTTATTTACAGATTCCTTTTTAATAAACCCGCAAAATGCAGAGTAAGTACAGTTTTCTTGTGTCTTAACCTTTTCAGTACCATGTTTTTAATCTTTTCAACATAGATCGAACGGTTTCAACATTTATTTCAGATACAGTTAACCCTTTCTGTAGCAAATTTAGTCAATGGCTGTCTCTCAAAACTCCCATGTCATCAAAACCTGCATGACACTAAATAAAACATATTTATCATAGTTATGTATACAGCATCAGCATGCAATGTTACATAAATTGTCAAAGATGATGAATCATTTAATGCATGGTTATATGCAGGACAGGATTAAATTAAAATTATCTGATCAATACTTTAATAGTGGGCTTTACATACATGTATGATCTTGGCAATGGCCATATTAAATTTAATATTTATATTCTGTTCAGATTAGTTTCTTCTGAAGTTTTGTTTCAAAAATTAGAAAATGACATTTCAGTCATTTAATATTTTTTTTTTACAGAAGCAAAGCAGTACGATTGGAAGGACTCCAACTTAGCATTATTTGGTTCTGATACAGAAAAACAGGTTAAAAGTGAGTGTTAGAAAACTGTCATGGCTTTATCTAGATTGCTGATCACAGTATGTCTGTTGCAATTGCTTTTGCAGTACTTCAGGTTTAAAATATACCAAACACAGTGACCCTGACATCAAGACATGCTTGTCTAAGTTAAAAAAATATGTCCAGTCACTTTCAAATTTTGTCTGATTCCCCTTCGAACTTTAACGCCGGATTCATGGTTGAATACACATGGGTTAAGTTAATGTTCACTATCAATTTGGGACACAGGAACTCTGACACACAACCATAAAAACTGGTAGCACACTAACTGAAGCCAGTTGATACTGTGTGACTGATCCAGTTGATACTGTGAGACAATGAATATGAAATTCATAAGAAATCCAGTCATACCACCTGGAAACATTTATTCTTAGCAACAAAGGGACATAATAAGAATCATAATAATTGTAACTATACTTTTTTGAACTTGGGTCACTTCCAAAGTTACAATATATTGATCTAAATCATTGGTGTTGATTAAGATATTATTGATGATTCTTGGCATTGCTAATGATACTGTAGGCTGATCATGGTGGGTAAGACGATGGCTCGCTAGCCTGGAGGTTGGGTGTTCGATCCCTGCATTGCCGAGAAAGTTCATCCAGATTTTCCGACGTGGTTCCCTCTTGTCAATGATGCAGGACGGAGGGCATGACAAGGACAGCTGTCTAGTCGTTTGGATTGGACGGAAAACCGAGGTCCCGTGTTTACATTGGCGTTGGAATTCGATATAAGAGTAGGCCGTAGTGCCGCTGTCCGGGCAAAATTTCCCTCATAGCATACTGTATGGTGTATGCCCGTCATCATTAGCCCAGTTTGGAGCAAAACAGTAGGACGTTAAACCCCATTTCATTTCATTTCTATAATACTGTAGTAAGTTTCTTTGTAGTGAGTCTTTTCACGGAAGCCACAAGTTCTTGATTATTGAATATTATTTTTACAGAGGCTTCTGCTGCAACAGAGCCAGCATGGTCTGGATCTGGACAAGAAGTTGGTTTAAAAGTCTGGAGAATAGTGGTGGGTTTATGTTAGATATGTTAAATGTTATGTCAGTAAATTGTCTATAGAAATGTATATCTTGTGTGATTGTATGCATATTTTTTTATTATAAATGATCAGAGTAAGAAAAAAGTCTAAATTTCCTGTATTTGTATTGGATTTTTTTTTTATACAACTACATTTAAATGTAGTCATATATTGTTGTCGCCCATATCTGTTGGTCGTCCAGGCTAAACTAATAATCCAATTGATAAAGTGTTTACGTCGGGAGATAAGCAGCATATAGACAGAGTTCTGGCCCTTTGTCGCATGAAAATCTTTTGGACATGCTAGAGACTAAAATTACCAACTGATCAATTTGAAATTTGTAGTGTTTATGTGATGAAGAATCCTCTTGATTTCTGATACATAACTTATACATATAACTTGAACAGCTGATGTTATTGAGTATCAAAACATGTTTTGTATTATGAATGTTGACACTAGAATCTACTGAAAGCCGATCAAATTTTTGTTATTTCAAGTGATTACACCAAGGGTTGTTACTCTTGATTACATTTTAGTCGCTTATAAATTCTCCAGTTACCTACAAATATTGGAAACCTTTGAAGACCGCAAGAACGACTTAACTGTTGTGGATGTATGTTTTGTTACCTGGCAACTTGATATTTTTTATAATTATTATGACATATGATCTTAATATCATTTAACTGTGCAATGCTTTGAATTTTTTTTTTTGTAGAAATTCAAGGTCACTGATTGGCCCAAGGAAGACTATGGCAAATTTTTTGAGGGTGATTCTTATATTGTTCTTAATGTAAGTTTAATTGAGGATTTGTCTAATGATTCTTTGTTCAAAAATCTTTGTTTAATTAAATTGCTCTACAACCCTGGTAGCCTTGCCAATTCATGACCACGGTAACATTAATGTTTGTGTCTAGTATAAATAAAAGTCTGCCACGTGACGTGACGCGAGTCCAGTCTACAGAGTTCAATACAATGAAACTAGTCACTTAAATGCCCAAAATAACCAAGTTTTTATAGCCACTCTTGTATGCATATATAGTAGTAGCCTCTGTCAGCTCATCCATCTGTCCATTGTGTTTAGTTTTTTGTGAACACTCCAGAGGTTAAATTTATCATCCAAATTTCTAAACATCTTGGTATTAAAGAAGCCAGGGCGCATCATTTAAAATATTTTAGTACCAGTTAGATGTCCTTTAAAGGTCTATAAAAATCTTTCCTCTCGAGAAACCTTGTATGATGAAATATATTTTTCTTTGTAGACTTACAAGGAAGGAAGCTCTGATAATTTGTTAATGGATGTTCACTTCTGGATTGGTAAACTTAGTACACAAGTAAGTAAAGTATGAAATGAAATGTGGTTTAATGTCCTACTGTTCTGCTCCGACTAGGCTAATGAAGACGGGCATACACCATTACAGTTTGCTACGTGGGAAATTTTGCTTGGACAGTTGTGCTACGACCTACTCTAATATCGAATTGCAACTGCCAAGGGTTCTTATGTGCACGCCAATGAGTACATGGTATTTCATTTTTCGTCCCATCTGAGCAACTATGCATTGTCCCTTTCCAGACCCTCTGTCCTGGTGAGCTTACTCAGCCAACATCGTGATCAAACACAGGACCTCCAGGTTAGCGAGCCAAATTCTTACCCACTTAGCCTCTGCGGTTCCTAAGTATAGTAGGGCTGTCACCCAAAATAGTATTGCAACATATTGCGATACCTTATATAGTGTATTGCAGTACATATTACAAAATATTACATTATCCATTTTTCGAGTGAAAACATTTTTATGAGATGAGCCATCACAATCTGTTTCACAGAGGATTACGAAAGTCTTCTAATATCTCTGTAAAAGATGACTACCTTCAACACATGATGTCATATCACACGGCGTTGATCATTGGCTCAAAGGCGCGTGCATTGTTTACATATGACCTTGCTGATTCGGGCAGAATGGAGTCTTTTACCCATTTTGATACCCATTTACACTAAACAGGAAATAATTTTTACCTACAAATACATCAAACGTCTTTTTTTTTTCTAATCCATAAAAAAAAAAATGTTTTAGAATTTAATTTGTTGGAGGAAAAAAGTTAATATTTGTGGCTCATTAAGTCGCATCGATGTCATCCTTATCAGTGATTGTCGCTGCCTAGCAAATATTCACTGCTGATCAGTGTGGAGCCATCAGTTTAAGTAATTTTGCATAGATATTTGAAAATTTTAAGAATAGATATTATAATTAGAATGCTTGATTATCATTAAAATACCAAATTAGATTCCAGTACAGTATATGTCTAAATGTATTATACAAAAATCTGTGTGCCGTTGTTTCATGAATTTTATTGAATTAAATGTAAAAGGTCTTTTTGGATACAATTTAAAGAAAAAGCATCCGAAAGTGTTAACGCAATGTGGAAATATACAAGTACTTATATTCCAAGTATTCGATGTTTCTCCTACAGGATGAATATGGAACTGCTGCCTATAAAACAGTTGAGCTCGATACATTCTTAGATGATAAACCAGTGCAGCATCGTGAAGTACAAGGACATGAATCGGAACTCTTTAAAAGCTACTTTAGTAGTATAAGGTGAGTGTTTAATATTCTCAAAATAGTCCTGTATCCCTACAAAAAGATAATGTCTTCAGCACCGAATGCAAGAATTTATTGATATTGTAATTTTAATTGCTGCATCAAACACAATTCAAATGTCAATAAATTTATTTTCTTGTGAAGATTTTTTCCTGTTGAAATGAGGTAAATGTCATACACCCTTCTACGTCAACTGCATTGATTTTTATACGCCCACATTGAAATGTGGACGCTAAAGTTAATATCTGATTGACTTTAAATTTATACACAGTGTTTAAGGTCTTGAGACGAAGAAGCCTATTGATTTTCAGCGATTTCCAATAATTACTGCCAGAATTATGGCCCTTGATCACTTTGAAAAATCTTGTGGACGCGCTAGAGGCCAAAGTTAATATCCAATTGACCTTAAATTTATACACAGTGTTGGAGGTCATGAGACGAAGAAGCCTATTGATTTTCAACGATTTCCGATAATTACTGCCAGAGTTATGGCCCTTGTTCACTTCAAAAAATCTTGTGGACGCTCTAAAGGCCAAAGTTAATATCTGATTGACTTTAAATTTATACACAGTGTTTAAGGTTATGAGACGAAGAAGCCTATTGATTTTCAGCGATTTCCGATAATTACTGCCAGAGTTATGGCCCTTGATCACTTCAAAAAATCTTGTGGATGCTCTAAAGGCCAAAGTTAATATCCGATTGACTTTAAATTTATACATAGTGTTTAAGGTCATGAGACGAAGAAACCTATTGATTTTCAACGATTTCCGATAATTACTGCCAGAGTTATGGCCCTTGATCACTTCAAAAAATCTGCTGGATGCTCTAGAAGCTAAAGTTAACATCCGATTGACATTAAATTTATACACAGTGTTTAAGGTCATAAGATGATGAAGCCTATTGGTTTTCAGCGATTTCTGATAATTACTGCCAGAGTTATGGCCCTTGATCACTTCAAAAAATCTTGTGGATGCTCGAGAAGCGAAAGTTCATATTCGATTGACTTTAAATTTATACAGTGTTTAAGGTCATGAGACGAAGAAGCCTATTGATTTTCAGCGATTTCCAATATTTGCTGCCAGAGTTATGGCCCTTGATCACTTTGAAAAATCTTGTGGACGCTCTAGAGGCCAAAGTTAATATCCGATTGACTTTCAATTTATACACAGTGTTTAAGGTCATGAGACGAAGAAGCCTATTGATTTTCAGCGATTTCCGATAATTACTGCCAGAGTTACGGCCGTTGATCACTTCAAAGAATCTTGTGGATGCTCTCTCTAGAGGCTAAAGTTAATATCCGATTGAGTTTAAATTTATACAGTGTTTGAGGTCATGAGACAAAGATTCCTATTGATTTTCAACAATTTCCGATAATTACTGCCAAAGTTATGGCCCTTGATCACTTTGCAAAATCTTGTGATGCTCTAAAGGCTAAAGTTATAATCCGATTGACTTCAGATTGATACAGAGTTTAAGATCTTGAGACGAAAAAGTATATTGATTTTCAATGAATTTTTATGACTTAAACAGTTAAATCCATGATATTAAAAGCTTTGCATACAAAACGTTAGCATGGGGCAGAACTTTATAAAAACCAAACAAATTTTAATAGTTTTCTGATAATTACTTCGTGAGTTGTTGCTCTTAATCAGATTTTAGTGTATTATAAATGTTTCATTACCGAAAAAAGTAAAAATATGCGACAACCCTTGTTGACTGCCCGGACGATTTAGTTGCTGTGGGTGTTGTTTCGTTGCCTGGCAACCTATCTTATAATTATGTTTCAGCAGTATTTTCAACCAGGTATAAGTGTTTATGATATGATATATTATTTTAAACTTTTTGTTATACTCCCACATTTTCATGTGGACGTATATTGTCGTCACCCCTGTCAGTCCGTCCACAATTGTTTGTGAACAGTCTACCGGTCACAATTTTTATCCGATTTCAATGAAACTTGAAATATAAGTTTATCACCCTAAGATCTCGGTTCCTTTCGATATTGGCATGTATTGGACTGTAACTTCATGGATTATGGCCCCTGATTGTACGAAAAATCACTTTATTTTTAGCTTGTTCTCTATCCATCTCTCGAATGTGGGAGTATCCTGCCTGGCAGCTGCTGGTTAACTGTTTTATGATCAATATTATGTTTTAGTCTGTTTGATCAGTATCAAGTTTGTTCTGTTTTTTTTTTTCTCAGTATTGCATTTCTTGTATGATATCAGGAACTTGTTTTGATTAATGATCAGTATCATGTTTGTTAATTTGGTTTATGATCAGTATCGTGTTTGTTATTTCGTTTATAATCAGTATCTTATTTGTTATCCTATTTAATACCTAATCAGTAACTTGTTTTGTTGTTTCCCTTTTATAATAAACATTTTCTGTTTTAGGATTAGTATCTTAATTTAAAATCACTCGTGTTAATTATTTTTAATGATCAGTTTCATGTTTTATTTTGTGCCTTGTGTGAAGTACTGATATCTTTTTCTATTTGATGATTGCTTTCATATTAATTTATAATTAATATATTGACGTTGTTGAATGATCAGTATTACCAATGTTTTATATTTATCAGTATTCTGAAAGGTGGTGCCGATACTGGATTCCGCCATGTTAAACCAGAAGAATATACACCAAGACTTCTACAGTTTAATCGTGTTAGTCGCCGTGTTGAAGTTACTGAGGTAATACAAATTTAATATCTTATAGAATGAAGCAGCTATCAGTAACTAAAAACGGTTGAAGTACTCTCTGGAAATGTACACAATGCCATTGATCATGATTCTGATTTTTAAAATTAATGAACTGTACTTATTAAGTAGGTGGAGCGGGTATGGGGTAGGGGTAGAATGGATGGCCGAATGGTTAGCGCGTGTGCGTTGTATCATAATGTCTGTCATTGAGTCAATTGGTAGGGTTTCGATTCCCTGGTTGTACGTGACAAGGAGTAGGATCGCTTGTCCAACCTCATGGGTTTCCTCTGGGTCCTCTGGTTTCCTCCCACTGCTAAAGATCCCTACGCGTAAGCGAATTATTGAAATAATGGGACTGGAAAAACCTAATCCCCCTTTGTGATCAGTAAGCGAGAAAGTTATAGGATTGGTAAACATTGAATTAATTTAATCAATTAATGTTTGATTTGTAGATTCCTCTCTGTAAATCACGTATAACCCAAGATGACGTATTTATACTGGATCTGGGTCTAAAGATTTATCAATATAATGGTGATAACTCTAGCAAGGATGAACGATTCAAGGTAAAAACTTAGTCAATAGCTATTAATTATCCTGTACTGAACAAAGTTTAAAGGGTGGAGGAGGGGTGAGGGGTTGATATTGTAATGGGCTTTAAGGGTGTTAATGATTGTTTACCATATTTAAGATACTGTCATTGAATTCTTCTCTTTATGTAAATTACTGTCTTTCATTTTTTCCCTATAATTAAAGCGATAATTTCATATTTTCTAAGAAAGTCAAAACATAATTATTTCTATGTCTTTTGCTCAATAGGTTGTCAACTCACTATTATACGACCATAAGTATTATTCTCCCACTTAAAAATCTTTTTACCCCGGAAATAATAACACAATTACCTCCCTTGTTTTTCTATTCCCCCCCCCCCCCCCTGGAATAGCTATCTTCAAACGTTTGAATTTGAAGTTTAAAATGATATTTTTGCCAATTTCTCAACTGGAAATAGTGAATTTTAGGATTAATAGGATTATTCTTTAACAAGGCAGGAGGTTTATAGATACCATCTATTTTAGGGCTTTATTTTGATAAATTTTAAAAATATAACTTAAAAATATGAAATTGCAACTTTAAAATACTGTAAATGGATCCAGATCTGGATACTAATCAAACATTTCCAAATAACTGACAGTGTTTCTGTAAGTGTTATTAAAGAAATAAAAAGAATCCATTGTTTTTGTACTACAGGCCATGCAGTACTGTCAAAACTTGGAATCTGAACGTAATGGTCGTGCTAAAGCTGATGTATTGGAAGGTGGTTCTACAGGTGACAGTGTAAGTTTTATAATATTTATTCTCAATTGTAAATACTTTCATTTTATTATCTTATTTATGATATTGTTTTTCCCTGCTAATCTTAATTCATATTGTAAAGCTGACTTTTTGGTTTTGATTTTAAAACCTGTTCAAATATATCAGTTACACCGACCATAAGTATGGTTAAGTTCGAATTTTGTGGAAATTGGACTGAAACTGTCGGACAAATGACTGCTCCCCTTTATGCAAATAGTATAATAAGCATTTAATGCCAACATTGTGGATCACAATTTGTATCCAATTTTGATTAAACTTAAAATATGATTATATCCTGAAGATCTAGGTTCCTTTCGATATTGACGCATGTCGGCCCGTAACATCCTGGATTATGGTCCCTGATTGTACAAAACATCGCTTTTTTAGCATGTTCTCTGTCCATCTCTTGCCAACTGTGGGCATATTTTACATGGCAACAGCTTGTTTTGTCAACTATTTATAATTTGCCAATGCCATAGATTTGTTCACTAGAAATGAGTGCAGTGTTTTCAACATAACCTTTTGTCTACACATGAAGAGCAGATATGTTTCTTCTGTAATGTTGGTTCATGTTTGTAACATTGCAATAAGAAAAAAAAAGATCAATAGACCTTTTGGATTAAAATAAGCCTACAAGTCTAGTGAATGACTAGAATATTTTCATTTTCAGCATGAATTCTTCGCAGCACTAACAGGAGACGACGAACCCGATGATGTTGATGAAGAGACTGATGGAGTAACAGAACTTTACAGGTATGTTTATACACCTGTTTTATTCAGATATTACATGATTATATTACAGTAGCGTTAATATACTAGCAATATAGTTGGTCTTGTATTTTTTCGGAGCACCAGTGACTCCGTAAGATGTTGGCTCTCTAACCTGGAGTTCCCATGTTCGATCCCTGCGTTGGCCGAGAAAGTTCATCTGGATTTTCCATGGTGGTTCTGCCTTGTCAGTGGTGCAGGACAGATGGGACGGAAAGCGTGCACGTAAACAAAATTCCCCTGGCAGTTGGAATTTGATATAAAAGCAGGCGATAGTGCCGTTGTCCGTGCAAAATTTCCCCAATAGCACACTGTATGTCTTTATTAGCCCAGTCGGAGCAGAACAGTAGGACGTTATACCCCATTTCATTTCTAGTATTTACCCTATGTTTATGTTAAATTTCAGGATAAGCGATGAGGATGGTTCTATGGACATGGAAAAAGCCAAGGAGGGAACAATTTCTAAAGAAGATTTCGAAAGCAAGGTAAGACTTATACCACTGCTGCTTTTAATCCCTTGCCAAACTACAATAGTATAGAAATTAAATCTCTTAAAAGGAATGTTTCATTTCTGTTGGTATTCATAGATACGATGAATTGAAAATTATGCAATATAAAAAGTGTTGGATAAAATGTATCAATGGATGGTTAATAGTTAACGAATGGATATGATTACATTTTAACATCGATAAAGCCATGAAAAGTTATCTATTGTCCAAAAAATATAAATACCAATAAGGGCGTTAAAACTGAATATTGCAAGATAACAAAACCTAGAGTTAAGTTTTTAGTGGCTTTTCAATGCCCCCAGTATATACTAAATAATAAATATGCGGCAAACTTTGGACGTCTTAAATGCTGTAGACTTATGTTTTGTTGCCTCGCAAATCTTTCTTTGAACTTAAAAGTACTTTGAAAGATACTTCATGGACTATAGGACCCATTCCTAAATGTTCAGCCTATAAGTATTCTTGACCACTCCAGGTTTGTATAGTTTGCCCTTGGGATACAAAAATTAAATCATTTATAGATGGGCTAAAGAATTAAACAATTTTCTAATTTACTGTAGGATGTTTTCTTAATGGATACTAAGAAAGAAGTATTTGTATGGATTGGTTCAGGGGCATCTGTAGCAGAGAAGAAGAATGCAATGGCCTATGCCCATGTAAGAATTTATTCTACTATTAAATGAGTTTTAGTTCATTAGTTTCCTCCCACTGCTAAAACTAAAGACCTCTACCTGCAAGCGAATTATGAAATAAAATTGAACCTTGCCTTAGTCCTGAAATGACCTAATTTGTTAAACCCTCTCCCCCTCTCTCTCTCTGTCTCTCTCTCTTTTTCTTTCTCTTTATTACAATTTTTAGCAAATAGCAATCCGTTTTACTTTTTCTAATTTTTGCATGATTGAGATGACCCCCAAAACAATTTATCCAAATTTCAACTGTCATGGGTTCTTTTATGTGCAGGACAAAGGGTGCAGTGCAGGAACTTTTGTTTATAGTCCAATCCAAATGACTAGACACTGTTCTTGCCAGGCAAAATCCTAGAAAACTTTCTCCACCAAAACCGGGATTGAATCCCAAAAATCCTGGTTAGTGACTCACTGAGCCACCAATGAAATTAAACATAATTGTGAATCATTGTATTCAATTCATAGTTAAGAGGAATCTAGATTTTTCAAGCCTAGTTCTCCTTTTTCGAGGATTGTACCTGAGGAGCTGAAAGTCTTTGTCTAGTCAGGTGTGCATATTGTCATAGGAAGTACATGTATAAGGAAATTATGGGCAGAATTTCCCTACATCCATTTAAAAAATGTTCAGTTGTCGGTCTCTAAATGATCCAAGTATTTCATTAAGATGACAAACCCAATTCCATTTATTTCAAGATGAACATATTAAACGTGTTACATTTATATTTATTGTCTATTTATATACATTTTTCTTTAGAACTATCTTAAAAAGACCAACCATCCATTGGTACCAGTGTCATGCCTTAGTGAGGGACGAGTAGTTGCTAGCTTTGAAGCTGCCTTGGCTGCATAAAAAAAAAGAAAAATATCTGTACTTATCTGATTAGGATGCTTCCTCTTACTACTTTAAGAGCATCTCATTAGGACGCTTCCTCTTACTTCTTTAAGAGCATAATCACCATAACTGCTGTGTAGCTTTAGTAACCAGAATTGAACTGAATTATTTCGAAGAAAATTTCTCTTTAATATCATCTGACCACAAAACTGTCAGTGGTGTTTTATTATGTAGGTGTAGGACAGATCTGAATTACTTAGATTTATTAAGGTGAATTCAAATCTGCTTCCTGATTCAAGAAATCAACATTGCTTTTCTGAATCTGGTACATATTAAATTTGTAATTAGAATAGACAGTAGACAGATTCAGATTTTCTACATTCAAGCCATATTATTCGGAAACCGTCCTTCAAATTAAAGAGTCTAGTAATCTAGAGCACTTTATTGTTTACTTGTTATATTATTGAAGAAGTGCCTTTTGATTATTTCCACCAGTTTTGATATTAAAATAACCAGAAATTACACGGGTTTTGAAAACCACATTCTGTCGTTTATATACGGGCCTACAATAGGCCTTCAGATTTTGTTTTTGTTTTTTGGGTATTCACACTTGACATTTTTAGTTTATCAGTATTTGTATCAAGCATTATGCCTGCTTTTTTTGTAATGGTATTACATATTTGTTTTACATATTGAAACTCTTTATTTGCTCATTTTTACTGTATTATTTATCTACATTGTAAATTATATGCGGAAACATTAAACACAATAAAACACTGTCTCGATCGTATTCATTGTTTTTGTTTTCTGTCCAACAATCGGCAATTTGGGACATGACCAAATTTGATATGCAGATAGTGTAGGTGATGAGCATTTAGATTTGTTATGAAGAAGTTTTGTTCCCCAGGGCCAGAGCAGAAACACTGACTTGGCCAATGGAATTTGAGTTAATTTTACATAGGCAACCATCAGATGAAAGCAGATCAGATATATACAAGCTGGAGGTAGCCAGATGGCAATGGTGTAAAGAAGAATCCTATCACGATTTGAAAACTTTTTCAAATGTATTTTGTAAATTAATCAATACAAAATGGGTGGCATGGTTTTGTAACGATCAGGATGATTGGTCTACAGAAAGGTTGCAACCATGCTTCCTGGACTTCCAATTTAAATATTGGGATCACGATGGCTAAGTGGGTAAGACGCTGGCTCGCTAGCCGGGAGGTTTGGTGTTTGATTCCGGCGTGGTTTTCCCTTGTCAGTGATGCAGGATGGAGGGTCTGAAAAGGAGTCGGGACAGCTGTCTAGTCGTTTGGATGGTACAAAAATTTAGGTCCTGTGTACACATTGGCGTGCACGTAAAATATCCCTTGACAGTTGGAATTAGATATAAGAGTAGGCCTGAAATGTTATATAAACTATTAGACAGTATTAACAAAACAAAACAAAAACAACTCTCGATAGCATCAGATACTCAAGATTTTAACTAGATTAAAAATGGGAAAGTAAGGCTGTCGCAAATATACCAGTGCCCTGGTTACCACAATGCACACATCTTGTAAAAATTACAGTGATGAATTGGCTCAGAATGAAGTAATTTTGAATGATATTTTCATTTTACATTATCTATTTTTGAGCTATTATAGCAAGAATGGTCAGCTCTTTACATAATGTATCTTTAACTAAGAAACAGCAGCCTACAGCTGAATAGAAATTTTATCTTGCTATTAGTACTATTACCTCCAGTTCCCTTAAATTAACTTTATATAAAGGTCTCTGATATCATTTGTTTGAAAGCTATGGTTAAATACAGCTATATGATACAAACGGCTATGGATACCTACAAACTTGTGCTATGGAGTCTGTTTCACCCATTGAAAAAATAAACTCCAGCTGTAAAAGCAGCATTAATATATAAACCTTTGTTGCCAGAAAACATTATACAATTCCACCAAGATATTAATAATTGCAACCTATCAAGTTCTAATCAGAATGTGGGTTGTGGAGTGGTCAAAGTGTGCACTTTAGATCATCAGGTCTGTCATTGTCAAGTGGTGTGATTAAGCTTCTAAAGGCCCCAATGAGCTAGTAAATTATTGAAATAAAATTGTACCATATGTCGTCCCCAAATGACTAGTTTGTGTCACGTGGAAGTACAACCCCATTTCTCTCTAACAAGAATTAACAAAGGGGTATAACTTTGGTGGTGATTATTGAAAAACGTAAATCTGTATAGACTGCTTCGATTCTATAAAGATAGAAAACACTGGTCAATTTCAAATAGAAATATGGGTTATCATGGGCTTTAATAGGCTCCAAGTCTTTATAAGTGTGAAAGATATCAAATGACTGGCTTTGAATGGAAATAAAGAAAATCGATGAACATCAATAGGATGCTTCCTTTGAATAGGATAGACAACCAATTTCAATTTGATTTCGTAACCAAGGGATATAACATTTGACATGGCATAGAAAAAAATCAAGATGGTCACGCAGACATGTTAGGGCTCTTTGTGTTTATAAAATCCCAGATAAACGGAATATTCAAAACAAATTTACAGTCCAAGAAATTAAACATTGAAGTCAACTGGGATATAATCAATTAATCATCACTCCAAGCGTAAAACAATTAAAGGAGCTAAGTCTCTAACTCAATATCATCCAAAATCTTCAACATTTAAAACACGAATTATTTGTCAATTTAAAACAACATTGATGCTGTGATCTTACCGGAAAAGGGTGGGCTTCTGATATCCAATATTTAAGACAAAATAAATATTTTACCATTGGTACACGAATCGTGTACCATAATGCGTTTCAGCCCCAGTTCTAGCAAGAGACTAGAGGAACGAGGCTAGACATATTGCACCAAACCAAACGGCTTATGTAGACTGGAATAACAGACGCTAGGCATTTGCACTCGATTGAGACTGCTGGCTTATTTCACGGAACATAACTGATTTGAAATTAGAGTAAAAACGGAAACGATTGAATGTAAATCAGTTTATATACATTCATATTACGGTATTATATGAGTTGCGACCCACTTGTGTCAATTTCTAGGTCCCAAATATTAGCGATTTAGCTACTTTAACTACGTCATTACTTACAGCCCTTCATATGTCCCATTTTCTCTCCTAGAATCGATCGAAGAGTGGGTTTGAAATGACATTTTCTGCAGGGGTAGCATGATTTACCCAAATCTACCCATAATCATCCAAATAAATGATTCGTCCAAATGTACCCATAATCACCAAAATACACCCAAATTCACCATTTATTTCAACTCATATCACATTAATTTATGTCGGTATTTGATAACATACCATTCTTATGCCATTCTTAAATAGTAGCATTTTTTAGTCCAAATGTAATTTCCATGTATGTTTGGAAGTCATCCAATAACTGTTTAAAAATGAAAATTTGGAACTTGATATATATTTTTGTGATATGAATTGAAATAATGGTGTATTTGAGTAAATCAGGTTAAATGAAGTGGGGAAAGTTGACCTTCAGTGCTTTTCTGTCTACCTATATTTACATTTTGAATTACCAAGGATTCTTTTACATATAGGCTACAGTGTAGCTTATGGGCTATGGGATCTTGGGTTTTTTTTGGTGCGATCTGATATAAACTAGACTCTGTAGGTTTGACTTGCCTCGCCTGCCCCGCACTGTACCACGGGCAAGGGAAAACAACAGGCTGGAAAATCCTGAGAAACTTTGTCAACCAACATCAGAATCAATCCTGGGACCTACTCAGTGAGCCAGCACATTCACCGGTCCACCGTGGGGGGTGCAGATGGAAGACCAAAGTACTGCTCTTTATAATTCAGTATTCTTAATTCTTAGTCCTTAATTTTCATTTCTTCATTTGTTGTCCTATTTCGAGGGGAGCCACGGTGGACGCTGGCTCGCTAGCCTGGAGGTCGACGGTGTTCGATCCCTGCATTGGCCGAGAAAGTTCATCTGGATTTTCCGACGTGGTTTCCCCCTTGTCAGTGGTGCAGAACGGAGGGCCTGACAAGGACAGCTGTCTAGTCATTCGGATGAGACGAAAAACCGAGGTCCCGTGTATTCATTAGAATGCACGTAAAAGATCCCTTTGCAGTTGGAATTCGATATAAGAGTAGGCGATAGTGCCGCTGCCCGGGCCAAATTTCCCTCATTGCACACTGTATGGCGTATGCCCGTCTTCATTAGCCCAGTATAGGAGCAGAACAGTAGGACGTTAAACCCCATTTCATTTCATTTCATTTGTCCTATTTCGACATTTGAATACGAAAATTAATAAATTCTGATATGACAAATGTCGGATTTGTAAAACAAATATTGATTTTAATATACACTAACACTATTTATGGAATAACAATTACTGGTTTATTAATATGCAAGTTTCGACGATGATACTCTCGTCTTTATCAAGCAAATGATGATAAAGACGAGAGTATCATCGTCGAAACGTTGGATGTTAATAAATCAGTAATTGTTATTCCATAAATAGTGTTAGTGTGTTACTGTTCAATTACTAAATGCCACTTAAAGACGATTTTAATATACACATGTTAATTTTCGTGGTCTGCATCCATTTTAAAAAATAACAGTTATCTCCCCTGAATCCATGAAGATTAGTTCTAAATGATAAGGCCAGTTCAATTTTACGTCATTGATCAAGAGATGTAAACAGGGCTAATGCTAAATCCCAACCCTAACCCTACCCTGAACTAGCCCCAATGCTTACCCTAACTCTAACCCTAACCTACAACCTCGCCAAAAATCATGAGCCCTCCTAACCTTTTTTTACATCTTAGCGACCTTGACAAAAATGAGCTGGCCTTAACATTTAGCCATCTATGAACCGGTAACCGGAAACAAAGATTGTGAATAGTAAAAACAGCGTGAGAATGTCGTCGGCACCAATTGCTGAAAGAAATCAAGGTTTGTATTTAATATGCTTAATTGACCTAAATGTCAGAATATTGAAAGCTTGTACCCGCACTTCGATTCATCTATCCATTATACTTATAATGATTATTTCTAGTAGTAGGCTAAATTAACTCTAGCTATAGTTAGTAGTTAGACTAGTTTAGTTAAGTTATATTGTGTAGTACTACTTATTACTAGACTAACTCTCTTAACATTTTCACTGTCCCAGCACTTTCAAAACTCCTCAGGTGACCAGTTTACAAGGTGAACAGAATAGAATTAGAAGAAGTACAAACAGCACCTTCACGCTATGCTATGTCTAACACCAGAGGATTTTGTGGAGTATTTCATTGAAGTTGAACTGAAGTATGTGTAGTCCAGTGACCCAGTGTTAGTCTTGGGGAATGATTTCTATTTCTGTGTTGAAATAGTAAGAAAGTTTCCAGGGAATGGGGGGTGGTACAAAAACTGAGGTCCTATTTACACGTTGGCGTACATGTAAAATAACCCTTGAAAATTGGAATTCAGTTGCTGTCCGGGTATCATTCATTCATAGTAGCCTACACTGTATATTGTAAGCCCATCGTCATTAGTCTGGTTGGTGCAGAAAAGTAGGACATTAAACAATTTACAATACACACCAGTAGGTCCAGTATCAAATTAAGGTACCGGTAACCCAGAATTTGTCCAAATAATTTTGATTGATGTGATGGCTGATGTTGTCATTGGAAAGTGAATAGTTTCAAATCGATAGTAAAGGCATGCACAATTGCTACATTGTAGATCACAGACCATATAAATTATCACCAAGATATCAAGTTTATCACAAAAAATACTGGTACCTGATGTGTTTTTTTTTCTAAAGTACGACATACAACAGAATTTTATATTTATTCTCTAGTATTACTTTTGTATTCCAGATGCCACAGTGTATGTTGGTGGTCTTGATGATAAAGTCACAGAAGCTATATTATGGGAATTATTTTTACAGGCAGGGCCTGTAGGTGAGTAACAGGGGTTGTTTAGCAGGAATGGATCATCCGGTCTTTAGGAGGTCTGCATGGCAGTTAAAAAGAGGGCTTAATGGAAGGTTTTAGTTTTAAAGGGTAGCCGGACAAAATCCAGCTAGGAACAAAACCTCTTTGTTGAAAATTCACAAGTGGACAAAATGCATTATGAAAAGAATTAGAATTTCAAGTACTGTAAATAGTTTAGGATAATTAGTTTTGTCATGGATTTGTGACTATTGAATGATTGCTATCTCTACCTGTATTACAACTAGGCTCTTGTCCTGTCCAGAGGTACCCCCTCCTGACAGGTGAAGATCAGACTTGAAATAAAATCCTGGTGATTCTTCTCTGTCTACACTGGGAATTGAACATACAACATTATTATAATGTCATTGTCCAAATAAGGCTATAATATTATAATATTTTTACAGTCAATGTCCACATGCCAAAAGATAGAGTAACACAGACACATCAAGGGTATGGTTTCATTGAGTTTCTAGGAGAGGAAGATGCAGATTATGCTATTAAAATCATGAATATGATCAAATTATATGGTAAACCAGTTCGGGTTAATAAGGTATATGTACTACAACTTTTCAAACAAATTTATTTTCTTGGATACCATTATTTTCTTTATTTAACCCTTTTTGTACCAAACATCTTTTGACATCAGTGTCCAAGTGATTGACATCAAGCTTCTGTTATTAGTATTTGTTATTAGTATTTCAATTTAAGGATCTATATGAAGAAAATTATAAGAGATAGACTGTACATGTTACAGAAATGCTCATTTGTGATCCTTAAAAGCATTAAATAATCAAGAATTGATTTTTTTTATTCAGGCATCAGCTCATCAGAAGAACTTAGATATTGGTGCTAATATATTTATAGGAAATTTAGATCCAGAAGTAGATGAAAAACTTTTATATGATACTTTCAGTGCTTTCGGTGTTATTTTACAGACTCCAAAGGTAATGTCTGGTTAGCGTATTAGGAGGTTAGAGGAAAGCTCAAATATCATGGGTTTTCCCCTATTAAGATAAATGACTGCATTGTTATCCAAATATCTTAATGAACCAGAACATTTTTAGTTGATCTGTTAATGAGAGGGGTTATTTAAGAAAAATTTAAACTATCTAACAGTGTGTATGCAGTGTCTGAGGTCCTGTGTATAATAAATTAATAGTACACATAAGGTAAATAATCTCATAGCTGTTGAAATTTGAACAAGTATAGGAGGAAACTCTGATATTCAAGCTAAATTCCATTCAAATTTATGCATCAGCTTTCAACTTTTATATGTTATACAGCTGGTCTTATACATTTTTATACGCCCACGTTGTGAAATGTGGTCGTACATTGTTGTCACGTTCGGCGATCTGGCGTCCACAAGCAATTGTGGACACTCTAGCGGGTAAAGTTAATATACGATTGACTTTAAATTTATACACACTGTTTAAGGTCATGAGACAAAGAATCCTGTTGATTTTCACTGATTTCCAATAATTACTGCCAGATTAATGGCCGTTGATCACTCTGAAAAATCTTGTGGACGCTCTATAGAGACTAAAGTTAATATGCAATTGACTTTAAATTTATACACAGTGTTGAAGGTCATTAGGCGAAGAAGGCTATTGATCTCCGATAATTATTGTCTGAGTTATGGCCCTTGATCACTTTGTTTTGGTTAATGCTATGTTTTTATGTTTGTAATCTGTTTTGTTTTCGGCAGATTATGAGAGATCCAGACACAGGAAATTCTAAAGGATTTGCGTTTATTAATTTTGCTAGTTTTGAAGCTTCTGATGCAGCCATTGAGGCTATGAATGGACAATATTTATGTAATAGACCTATTTCTATATCGTACGCTTTTAAGAAAGATTCTAAGGGTGAAAGACATGGGACAGCAGCAGGTTTGTACATTCTCTTTACCTGTAAATGATTTCTGATGTGGTTGCCCCGTTTCTGTCGGTGGCAAAGAACAGATAGTAGGGCTTGGGACCTCACCTATTTTCGAGGTCTCGTGCACGTAAAAGAACCCTGGACAATTGGAATTTGAAACAACAGTAGACCATAGTATTATATTGTCCCTGTTTGCAAATTGTCCTTTATAGCACACTGCAAACTCTTTACCTTTAGATTTGTTATATTATGACCCGCTATGTCTTGGATCTTTGAGTATTCAAATTTTATTAATTTTAATGCGGAAATATATAATAATATTCTCATGTTCACTTTCAGAGAGATTATTAGCAGCACAGAATCCATTATCATTAACAGATCGTCCTCATCAATTATTTGCTGATGCTCCTCCACCTCCTTCACAACCCCCTGCACCTTCAGGTCCCAACATGGCACCCCCACCTCCACCCCCAGGATCAATGCCAAATATGAATCAAATGTCAGGTAAGTTTCTGTTTTATTATAATTACAATAATGTTTTATTAGAAATTTAAATACATGGCATTTTGACTGTGTGGCCATTTGCTGTTAGCTTTAGTAATCTGTACTGTATTTAAAGTACAAATTTAGAATTAACCTTTTTCTGGTTCCTCGACATGTTTTTAAAAACTTCAGTGGAATAGAAGATCATTACAAACAAGAACTTTCCAATCCTAGTTTGCCAAGGCAAATGTTCAAGGTCTCAGATGGTGTACTAACTTTATATGTGTTTTTTGTGTACTTGTAGGTTCATCAGCAGCTCCTATGCCACCTCCACCAGTACCACCCCCTAACAGTATGATGCCACCTCCCATGCCTCCAGGAGGAATGCCGCCAATGCCTCCAGGCATGCATCCAGGTAATTAGAGTTTTGATCAGCTTTGAGTTTGACAGATTAAGCCAGGTTCACATCCATACTTTGTGAGACATGTGATTTGTCAGTTTTGTTTGTTCTTTTTACAGTATTTTCCTCTATTGTTCATATGTGTAATCATGTCTCAAATTCATACACAAATGTCATAACCCTAACTTTCACATTCTAAGTCAAATTTTCTTGCAATAAAAGTAATGCAGGAAACTGATTAAGGCAAATATGTTGTATTTGATTTATTCTAATGTTGTGAATAAAAGAAGGTATTATGTTCTAGTACTGGTAGATAATATGTCTCTGATTTTATATTTTAGGTGGTCATCATATGTTTGGACCTCCAAGAATGCCACCACCGCCACCTAATATGAATCAAGGTTAGATGACTATTATATCTTTAAAAGACATTTAATAAAAGCATCATATAATACAGACAATTGTATAGCTGTTTTTGACTAAGTTTATTTAACTGCAAGTTTCAATTAGGGTAGTGTCATTATAAAGTTGTCTGTATTATCAGTATTCCCTCAATGAAAAGGACAAGCATTTGAAAGATATCATAAGACAATCTTACATATAGCTTACATGTATATGAAATCACCTATATGCTGTAATATCATTATCAATCGGATATATCATAACCATAATCTAAAGGATTGAATTGTTTATTTAAATTAAACTGAAACCTATCAGAAATTTTACCTGAAGATAGTACCTAGTATATTGTTTAAAATAAACTAAAATATATAGGAAATTTCATAATAAGACAGTTGCCAGTATATTGATTATTGTTGTTACAGGTAATATGGATGGTAATTATATGAATGATGGATCTCAAGGATATGGTATGCCACATGGTATGAGGCCACCACCTGGTATGCGGCCTCCACCACCTGGCTGGAGAGGTCCACCACCCGGACATCCTATGTTTGGAGGTAAGAGAAACTTGATTTTAAAGATTCTTTAAGCAGTTTATAAATCTTTTCAGTGGATAAAACAATCCTACAAAGGATTGTAAATGGTAGCACTGCCATGGACCAGTGATATAAAAATTATTTGATATCGTTTGTAATTCATATTTTCAAGAATTTTACATTCTATCTAGCAACTGCATTTAACCACTTGAATAGAAATGAAAGTAACAAAAAAATATCAGTTTTTTCTTATTGTGCTGATCTAACACCTCTTTTCTGTGATTGTTCTACTTTCGTTCTGTGTTTCCTTTTATTTACGGTTTGTTGTGCTATTTCATAATATTTGTTTTCTGAAGTGAAATACTGGAGTTACTGCCCTTGGAAAAGATATTCTTATTTCAAATAGCAAAACAAGACAAATAAATGAATTGATAATTAAATTCCATGGTTCCACAATGCATATCAGAATAAATAATAAAAGTGGCAATTATAGAATAAATGAACATGCCATAGTTTAATGACCATATATGAGTTATTTGATAATTCCTGTTGAAATCCACAGGGAGTAAGCTCACCTGCCTTAAAAAAAATTATCTCATTTATATTTCAGGTCCCGGAGGACCCCCTCCAGGTATGCGAGGAATGAGAGGTCCACCTCCTCCTCCTAGAGGTATGCGACCACCTCCACCTGGTATGAGACCACCCCCACCACCAAGATTTTAAGGAATCAACATCACCAATACATTCTGTCATATTGTTAATAGACATTATCATTGTTTCATATTACATGTAAATATAAGAAAAGAAAAACAATATTATAATATACGACTTGATTTGTTATATTTATTGTCATACTAAACTTACACTGTCTACAATTAGCTCCGCTTGAGAACAGACACTAAGCTAGTTGGCCGACATTTTAAGTTCTAAACGATTTTACTTTAATTTTAGTCAAAAAATTAAAAAATACATTAGTTAAGAGTTTAATGAAGAGTTGGCCATTCTTGGTATAACAGTTCAAAAATAGATGATGAAAGAAGAAAATATTGAAAATTTCAGTCAAACTACTTTATTCTGAATGAAATTATCACTGTTGGAAGTTTGGACTAGAAATAGGCATTAACTGTCTTCGCACAGTCCCCAAGAATTGCCGATTGTTTGATTTACAGACGATAACTCTGTCCATATATTACGGATTATCAAGTAGCATTCTCAATGCCTACAGTACCCTCGATTGTCATTCCTGGGAGCTATAGAGAATATGCCAGTTGTCCTTGAGGATTTTGCTGATATAAACCGAAGTAGGATTAAAGTCGGTAATAAAGACTGGGCATTTAGTGGGCTCGACGGTGGTTTTAGTAGTGAGGAGATCAATCCTCTGAACGGAATCGGCTTTGGTTCTATTTGATTTAATAATATCTCTTGGGTAACACTGTTGGAGATAGTAAAATTCCAGTTTGTCTGCATGTTTAATATAATCTGTGTTGCTTGTGTAGATACGTTTGATTCTAAGAAATTGGCTATAAGGTCCCTTTCGTTTGATATGTGGCGGGTGGCATGATGTATAGGAAAGGTAAGAGTGTGTGTCTGTGGGTTTACAGTAAAGGTCAAATGATAGTGAATAGTACTTCAATACTTAGCAATTCATGAATAGTTTACTCTTTTCAAAAGGTCAAACTGGAAAATGAAGAGGTCACAGGGAAATTTGTCTGGTATTGGTCATTTTGCACCAGTCCATTTAAACTTACCGTAATGTGAGACTTTTAATATATGTACTAGCCCAATTCCAACATGGCGTCCTCAGAGCCCAACTTTTTCAGGGATGTCTGGTGGGTGTTATGGGACAGACAATTTATCTGGCATTGGCTATACTGAACTATTCAGATAGGTTGGTTGATAAATTTAGATGGAGACGGTTTAAGGCATTTTCGACTTATTCTCATGGTAAATATGTTGCTTGGTGGTGTTTGTTCGATTTCTTCATGAGGTGAATCAATTGAACACCAAGAAAAAAAGATTTACAACTTCTCCTAAACCGCTACATAGATTTCAATCAAAATTGAAGGGGAATGTTGCTGTAGTTGCTGATCCAAAACTGTTCAAATAAATCTACTCAACCTGAGAAGGCAAAATTTAAACATACTTTTACCTAATACTTGAAACAAAAAACATCTAGCCTTATACATAGATCTAATAAGTTATTTATTTTCAATAAATTTGCTTCTACATTGTCGGCTAAAATACAGGCCGTTGTGCTTCAAACAAAATATGTATGAAAAATAATAATAAAGCACAGAGGTCTTTTTTTGGTAAAAATGTATTGACATCTGGAACACCATATGACACAAATACCGCATAATTAAGGACAATCAAAGTTAAGTACTAGTTTCTTATCATCTTTTGTGGTTACACAAAAGGTACCTTTTGTTTCTAGATAGATAAATATTGCTGAACTTTTGGAAATACAGTTTGTGTTTGTCAAGAATATTTCACCTATCCTGTTTGTTCATCTTGAATGTTATGAAAAGGGAAAAATAAAATCTTATACAATGATCAGAAACAAGTAATTAATTTTTATTGATCTAAGGAAAAATATAAGTAGTTTTACCACACAATAATCTATAGCTGGTTTCAAATGATCTTTCCATTTTTAGTTTAAAAATACTAACAGGTGCTAAATAAAATCATATACTGTTATCCTTGGTATCAGATATATCAAAGCAAGTGATAAACAATTACGAGCATAGTATGAACCAGGTACTGAGTAGGACATCGCTGCCATCTTGAAAAAATCGAAGTCTGTTACTCATGTGTCTAAGAAACAAACATGCCAAGTTTCATGCCAATCATAGTTTAATTGGTGGATTAAAACCAGGTCAGTTTATCAACTTGTGTTCAAATATCTGATATAAAAAAAATTTGTATTACATGGTAGAAGATAATAACATGCTATATAATATGAATAGATCTACACTATATATAAAGATGACTAGTAAAACATACAGTTTAATCATAGTATGAAGCAAGAGTTGCCAGTATTATTACCTCATTAACCATTGTTACACGATTACTATGGCAAAGTGGGGTGTCTGATTAGGTTATTTTCACCTGGGTTCAGTTCCTACCTACAGAAGTCCATAGGAACTGGACCCCAATCGATTGCCTATTTATTTCATTATAGGTGCCTCCAGATTTCAGTTATAAATTCATGCAATACTGCAACATGCTTTTCAATGAATATGGATAGCCATGTGAATTGTACTTTATTATAATAGTCTAAGTCCAGTTAAATATTTAGATACTAAGCTACCAAAGTCCCTTTCAGATTATCAAAAAAAGAAAAAGAAATCCCATTACAGGATCATAGAATTTTCATTAAACATTGTCTCTTCTAAAGTATCTAAATATGTTGTTATCATATATTTCAGAGATGTTATTAATATTAGAGACATGATTAGCTGCAACTATTGTGGTTTCAGGAATGAGATTTGTAAAAACTTAGCAAAGACAAAAGTTGCATGTAAACAACAAGTTATTGTTAATGAAAATATTTTCAAGGTAAAATGTTGGTCCAATTTTGGAAAGTAATAATAATACTTTCTGAATCATGAAAACAAAAACAAAAAACAGTAATTCAAACAAAATAATATCAACAAGCACTTGCATAATGATTAAAAAATATGTAAATAATATGTAATAATAATAATAATAGGATTAATTAACAAAGAACCAATGACAACCAAACAAACAAAATTAACATATACATTTATTACAGACCAGAGCACTCAGTTCAAAGTCTTGTCAGTCAGAATTTGGATGTGGGGTGTTATTTAGCAGAGAGTTAACACAAAAACGTTTTAGAAAAGGTTACTACATATATTTTGTGTTCTTTTTAAATATGTAATTTAATCTAGTCATTTTTACGACTGAAGCCTGAATTTGTTATATTGTCATTTTAGTGGCAAATACAACCAAACTAAGAGACCTACCGGTAGTACTTATTCCAATGAATTTATTGGATAAACATTACCAAATACTTAACGTACAGTTTAAAGGTTAAACCTAGAAGGCTAAAAGTCATTTTCTGTTTTTAAATTTAATGAAGGGTTAAAAAGGTTTTTTTTGATGGTAACTACCCTTCAGGTTTTCAGTAACAATAAAGATGGTGGCATGAAATCAATAGAAAGTAATGCGAACTCTCAATGATTATAACATCCTTATCTTACATTGGTTCGGAATACTAAGCTTTTCAGTCCGGAAAAATGTGAGTCTCAGTATGCATTACAATACAGGATCATAATTTTTGTTCTGTATTAAAAACATAGGTATGAGAAATTGGACTACAATTTGGTACAAAACAATTACAAAAACATTAATACAACAGGTATCCCATACCCTAACGACCAACATATAATGACAAGAAAATAAGTTGACCATAAAACTAATAAATACTATAATAAGAACATTGCCAGTGTTTTTTAATGAATCAATGGCGATGGTGTACTATCTAGAAAACCATAAAATATTGCAGGAAGATGCTTTGTCTACATGTACATGGAACAAAAAGAATCTGTTAGTCATAATGGGACTCAAGTTAAAATATAAAATACTCCTTTGGCAATAAAACAAGGGCATTAATAACATATTTCCCTATTCATAAGATGCACTTAATTTTCTGTGGATATTTGTAAAAAAATCTTTGAACCACACATCTGATACATAATGACATATATAAAGTATAATAATTAATAAAAATTTTGGCAATTAAGAGACACTGATTGGCAATACTTAAACATCAATTTTGGCATAAAATAACAATAAAAATATTAAATTTGTATTTGGAATACATTCGAATTATAAAAAGGTAAGCATAAAGGAATCTTTTTTTTTCATATTTGTAAATGTGTTGGGCAAGAATTATAATAATAATAATGGTCCCTCAATAAAAATATGTTATATATATACAATGTACATATTTATTACAGAAAAATTGTACAAAAGTTGTACGTAAAATTTAATGGCCTCTAAAATAATACTGGTCATTATTATAAATGAATTCATGAATAATGGTAAAAATTTTAAAGACAAATACAATGTATAATAATAAAGTAAGTATTGTAATTAAAATCATGTATATAATATATGCATAGAATATATCTACCTCTAATACCACATGCTTAATCAGATCAAAAAAGAATCGATCCTCATCAAATATAGTGTTTTATAAAAAAAAGAATGTATAAGAGTTATGTATATGATTTTTATTACTAATAATACTACATGCACTAACCCTGTGTCCTCTTTGTTATTTCAATAACAATATAACATTTTCAAACAATACACAATAACACTTAATACCTCATAAAATTCAAGATTTGAGAGGCTTTTTGAAATAGATAAGATAATATTACTATTACATGCAATAACCCTGTGTTCTCTTTGTTATTTCAAAATATACAAAATAACAATAATACCCAATACAATTTCAGATTTGAGAGCCTTCATGAAAAAAATATCAGATCAGATTAATATTACATGTAACAACCCTGTATCCTCCTTGTTATTTCAATAACAACATAACATTTCCGAAAAATACACAATAACAATTAATACCTCATAAAATTTCAGATTTGAGAGGCTTGAAAAAAGTCAGATCAGATTAAATACATTTGTGTGACTAGCAAAACAGGTTTGGCTTTTCACTCGATTTGATTCCATTAGTTACCTTTGGTAATGTTAAAAAGAAATCTCTGATAGAGTAAATAATGCAATATAAAGGGAAAAAGGGATAGTGATAAGAAGTTTTCCTTCAGTAGATTTGTTAATTAGAATAATTTGTTATATGTCTGATAAAAAATGTTTTGCAAATGGCAATGTTTCTGGAATACGAGATTGATTGTATGTAAAGTATAATTTTGCAAAAATCTTTATTTTGTCTCATCACTGATGGCAAATTTTACCATAAAATTCAATTACTTTGTTCTTAGTTTGGTAAGTTATTAAGTGTAGTTTAATGATCGAGTGTGAGGCCTTAATTAATATATTGATATTGCACGAGTGCGTTAGCATGAGTGCTATATCTATATATTACACAATGTCTTGCACGAGACCATTAAACAACTTAAAATACAGACACTATCCAGCACGTGCATTTCAATGATATTGCACAAGTGCGTTAGCATAAGTGCTATATCTATATATTACGCAATGTCTTGCACAAGACCATTAACGAACTTAAAATACAGACACTATCTAATATCTAGCCCGTGCATTTCAATGAAATATGTCACACGGGTCCAATATTTCAACTAGTATAAATAATGTACATTTGGCACATTATATGTACCATTATTTGAAATAAAGGTAGTCAACATCAAAGGATGACGTCACATCTGTATTTTAAGTATTCATATTGCCCTTTAACAATACACATTTGTTCCCATAAAAACATTAATTTTACTAGATATGTGGTGGAAATGGACGTTAACCTCTATTATACCACTTCCATTTGACAAAATATTTAGAATATTGTAATACTGATTAACAATCTAAATGCATTACTGGTACAATAATAATCTTTAATCATCTTTGTGAAAAAAAAGATCCCCTTCCATAGATTTAACCGAATCATGCTTTTTTAAGTGACGATCTAAATTAGTTTGCTGGCCGAAATACCGGTCGCATAATGGACATTTAAATGGCCTCTCCTTGTTGTGTATGTTGCGAATATGCCGTTGTAGATTAGACGATATCGAAAATGAACGTTCGCAATATTTACAGTTATAAGGTTGTTCTCCTGTGTGTGTTCTTAAATGGCGAGTAAGATTTGCAGAGCGGGGAAAATGTTTTCCGCAAAATTTACAGCAGTATCTTTCTTTCATTTTATTAATGTGTTTAAATTGATAAGGCTCTGGAAATTTGTTTATGTTTGTTTGCGGGGGCATGAGATAATTTTTACGTTCTTGGGAGACCGGAGCAGATGTCATCCTGGGCATAAATTTTGTGGTATTTTTCAACAGACGAATTTCATTGTGGTTAAACGATATCATCGACTCCAGTACGGGTCTTATCAGAGGAAAATTAGCCTTGCTGTACTTCACAGTTTCATAAATATGAGAAATCCTCGGCCTCTCAATGACATGTGTTTGAGACAAATCAAGAGGAAATTCTACGGCTGGCGATTTCAAATAAACAGAAAACATTTCCCCTAAATCTGCGCAGAGACTTTGTATCTCCAAATTTGTGCATTTTAAATCTAATGAGTGTAAGGCTGGCAAGATCTCCGTGGACATAAAATAAAAGAAATCGGAATTGCTGATTTCCATGTTTTCCAGTTCATCTGTGGAAAAGCATTCTACATCTGAGCCTGAGCTATTCTCTCGATCACTGTCAATACTTGGATCAGAATCTCTATCTAATTCATCAAAGGTCTGCTTCTCATCCAATGTAAGACCATCGCTGATTAATTGCAGACAATCAACAGATATATTGGGGTCATTCAACATATTTTGTAGAGACAAAAACCCTTCTGGCAAGAAAGAACCAAATTTCGAATAAAACATGTCATTGAAACGAAATTGACTTAGATCGATCCAATTCCATGAAAACGGACTATTAGTCTTACTAAGGCAACCGACTGTACTGTCAGTGGACGTGCTAAGATCGATTTTATTCTTTAGAGAGCTGTCACAAAATCGCTTGTGCTTACTCAGAGAGGCAACAGTGGTGAAAGTCTGGTTGCAATTATTGCATTTGGTTTGTTGGCGGCAATCGGCATGCATACGCTTGTGGCGGCACAAATTTGAAAACTGGGTGTAGGATTTGAGACATACTTCACAAATAAATGGTTTTACACTACTGTGAATGTGTTGGTGTTGTTTCAGTCCGCTAGAAGTGGCGAAGGTTTTGCCACAGTCCACACAAGCATGGGATCTAGCTCCATTATGCTGGGATCTTATATGTCTCTGTAGATTACTGGGATCTGTGAAGATCTTGTCACAGTTTTCACATGGGAAATGACGAGTTCCAACATTAAACATCTGTAAGACAAAAATTGAAGTAAGAGATCATACTTGGGCAATACCCCCACCAATAACTCAATAAATTTGAATTTAAAAGGCTGATAACTCCAAAATTTACAATCATAATTTCCTGAAGTTCCAACATTAAACATCTGTAAGACAAAAATTGAAGTAAGAGATCATACTTGGGAAATACCCCAATAACTTAATAAATTGGAATTTAAAAGGCTGATAACTCCAAAATTTACAATCATAATTTCCTGAAGTATAATTTTATCCTCTTTGGACCACCCGGAACAATGAAACCAAGTTTTAAATAATTTCATTGAGAACATGAAAAGAAATCACATTAACATTCTTTATAAGTAAAAATATGACATGAATGATAATTCTTCTAATTACCCTAATATACAATCCAACCAAGGTTTTAAGGATGCAAAAGTCTAAACTTAAATGGGCAGATAACATCTTCATTTACAATTTACAAATTCTAAATTGGTATCCCAAACTAACCAATCACTGCAAACTCGGAAAAAATTTCAAGAGCTCTGACCTGTAGAGTGTTACAGGAAATTGTCGATGGACAGAGTTGACAATACGTGTACGTCCACCTTCAAAATGGGTTAAGAACTCTGCCCCTTCATAATTTGCAATGGAGATAATTCCTGTATCAAGTTCTCGAGCTTTCATAACTTTGAACTTTGTCGATAAGGTTATTCCTAATGATCGAATTAATAAACCCTGCAAATTTGATGAAATAAGTTTAGAACTTTAACCGGTGTAAAGTGTTTTGAACAAGAAAATAAGCATAGTCCACCCATGAACTGACAACCGAAGGAGGGAACGACAATATACGTCCACAATCCACATTAAATGTGGATGTACATGTATAATAAAGTATTTATTCATTGTATTGATGCTTACATGACTGAATGAAAATTATATCTAGCAGACGTGTCAACTACCCTTTTTTTTTCCGTGAGACTCACGGATTCGGGACCTTTCTCCCGATCTCCTGCGCAGGAGGAATTTTCTCACGGAAAATGGCCATATTGCCGATTCTAGTTTTACTTTTTCAAAGGGAGGTAACTCCCTTACTTCCGTTTCATAAATCGACCTCATGATTGGCTGAATTTGACCGGAAACTTATAATTCCGGTAATACGTACGCTTGACAGCCCAACGTGTGTTTGTGAATTGTTTGGAGTAAATAACGTAAATGATATAGAGTACATGAGCGAACCAAATAAAATAGAGACCTGTACAAGGTTCTTTCCATAACCATCATTCTACCCCATGGCTAGTAAACGTCTATCTATGCGATTTTGACAATTCTCCGGCAATGAGTATGAGTAAACATTTCATGCCACGTGACTTTAGCGTGAAATCGGAAGCCATTATTGACTGAAATTTAGCCAACTTTTAATCTGCGATTTTGGATTACATTTACAGTTAAATATATTACTAGCGATTGTATTATAATACTTTGATATCAATCACAATATATACAAATAATCTGACTCAAAAGTTATCGAAATATAAGCGCAACTACCATTTATGTACGGGAGACACTTGCGGGAAAATACCGCTCTGACGTCACGTTTCTGGGGATTTCCATTATTCATTAACGCGATTGTAGCCATAGAAAACAGGATTTATCGGTTTTGCAGATTGAAATTTGCTACTTTCGACTAAATGTAGCCTGCTTTTTATCTGATATTATTAAGATTATAAATATTTTATATATTATCATTCAAATTATTACGATTTTCATAATTTTTAACTGGCTATTATTTGCGGATTTGAGTTGTAAATTACTTATTTATTATGATAATTGATATGACTGAAAACACATTTTGGACTACCGTATACTATTAAAGTCTTTTGGGTAACATTTTATCTATATTTTCACAAAACATTTAAAAAAAATTTTTTTCTGTCATTTAAATTATTGACCCGAAACACAAAAGGAATTTTCATTTGTTCATTGTTGTATGCAGCAAAAACGAGTGCACAGCTAGTGTAAAATGTACTAAAGTATTAGCCTATGATTAATAAAAATGAAGTTATTGGATGAAAAAAAAAACTCCTGGATTCTCCTGTTTTTTCATATCTGGTCTCCTGTTTTTTCATACCTGGGGGTTGACACGTCTGATATCTAGTCAAAATTAAATGTAAACTTAATAAACTCACTGTATCTGAATTATGTGGATAATGTGTTGGAGAATGATAATAGTAATCACAATCATCAGATCTAGAATCACTGTAAAACAAACACAAACAAGCCAACAGTGAGGCTGATGTCCCCCGCCGAAATTGCAAAATAAATAGATGACACATATTAATTAATCGCACATTTATTTTTTTCACTAAGTTTCATCACTCTCTATCAGATAGAATCAAGATTATCTTGTCCCAAACCATCGACAAATGAAATCGATTAGCTCTGCTTAGCTTCAGCTCGAAATGTTAATTATTGAACTCAGTCAAGACATTCACCTAATGAACATCTACATATACATCAAGTTTAAACATTCACCTAATAGACACCTATGCCAAGTTTGAACATTCTACCTCAATTAGAAGGAGAGTTATTGTGTTCCAAAGTTTCTACCAATCAAATTGCTTATCACTCTGCTTACCCTCAGCAAAAAATGTTCATTATCGAACTTAGTTAAGGTATTCATATAATAAATCTATACACCAAGTTTCATCAATCTCACTTAATTAGAACTAAAGTTATCGTGTCCCAAAGCATCAACCAATCAAATTGCTTATCTCTGCTTACCCTAAGCGGAAAATGCTCATCTTCGAACTCCATCAAGGCATTGACCTAATCAACACATACACCAAGTTTGAACATTCTAGCTCAATTAGGAAGAGAGTTATCGTGCCCCAAAGTATCAACCAATCAAATTGCTTATCTCTGCTTACCCTAAGCGGAAAATGCTCATCTTCGAACTCCATCAAGGCATTGACCTAATAAACACATACACCAAGTTTGAACATTCTAGCTCAATTAAAAGTTATCGTGTCCCAAAGCATCAACCAATCAAATTGCTTATCTCTGCTTACCCTAAGCGGAAAATGCTCATCTTCGAACTCCATCAAGGCATTGACCTAATCAACACATACACCAAGTTTGAACATTCTAGCCCAATTAGGAAGAGAGTTATCGTGTCCCAAAGCATCAACCAATCAAATTGCTTATCTCTGCTTACCCTAAGCGGAAAATGCTCATCTTCGAACTCCATCAAGGCATTGACCTAATAAACACATACACCAAGTTTGAACATTCTAGCTCAATTAGGAAGAGAGTTATTGTGTCCCAAAAAGTGTGACGGACAGACAGACAGACAGACGGACGAACCCATTTTAATAGTCCCCTGCTTTCTTCGAAAGGCGGGGGACAATTATAGTGATAAACAGTCATCAGATCTCGAATCACTGTAAAACCAACACAAATTATAGTGATAAACAATCATCAGATCTAGAATCACTGTAAAACAAACATCAATTATAGTGATAAACAATTATCAAAATTAGAGTCACAGGCAGATAGACACAATTAATTGTCATGCATACCCCCACCCCGCCACCCCTCGATTCGCCCCTGAATATGAATTAAGGTTTGTCTTACCTAAACCCTGTAGGTGTTGTATCACCCATACCAATTAGTCACTATTACTAAACACTTAACATCCTGAAAAAATATACACCATTAAATAAACTTTGAAACGAATTTGATATGACAAATAGATATCACTTACTATCTGTGAACTAGACATATAATAATTCTCTGGTGTCCATAATGTAAGATATGATTAAAATAAATACAGCTAATATTTATACCAGGAAATAAAATTGGGTTTAACTTCCTAATTCTAATGACTAGGTTAGTGAGGGAGATTTTGCCTCGACAGCAGCGCTCTGGACTACTCTTATTTCGAATTCTGACGGTCAAGCTTTTTTTATGTGCACTTTAATGTGTACACAGGACCTCGTTTTTTTTTTATCCCATCGAAATGACTATACATTGTCACCCGCCGGAAAATCCAGATGAACTTTCTCGGCCAACGCAGGGATCTAACATGGGACCTCTAGGTTAGCGAGCCAACATGTTACTCACTGAGCCACCATGGCTCCCTATTTATACCAGGTATTTACTTCCATCCATGGAGTATACTCAAAATTACTGATATATCAAATACATGGGAAAAGTTACCTCATTGAAAAATAAACACCAAACATACATGTATTATAATTCATACAGCTGGAAACTGTCACCAATTCATCAAGAGGTAACTTTAATTTGTCTATGAAGTCATGGACACATTATTTAAAGGACTATTTAACATATCAATAAACTTTGAGACAGTAGACAAATAGACAAACATGTACTTCCATAAAGAAATCTAGTGACACAATGATCTAAAATCGCATTTGCTTAAAATTCAGCTCTTAATATAAGAAGATATTATTCTTACTATGGGGTATATCTACATATATATGTCGATTAACTGAATATACATGGGTTTTCTCCATTATAAAGCCAAAACTTAATGAGAGAGAGAAATGGGTTTCATATCAACAAAATAGATCTATGCTTTTATCTTAGTTTTTCATAATTGAATTTGCTTACATGCAAGGGTCTTTAGCAGTGGGATAAAACCACATGTGTTTGAAAGGCAACCCAATTAAGATCACTTTGGCATCCTCTTGTAAAGTCTGTATGGCTATTAAAATCATTGATAATTGCTAAGTTAATGTACTGTATATATATTTTTCCAATAAACATAAGTTTATTTAACACACAGAAAAAATAAACTTTTTAACAGCTGCATATGATATCAAAATTTCAACCCATTTACATGCAATGAACTTATTTTCCTTCACTAGAGACATATTATTGGGCCACTGAAAAAACCTCAAATAAATACCATATTTCTTAATTTCATGCTTAAACAGACATTATGTAAGACCTAAATCTAACTATTGCAGGTCTTTCTTTGGGGGGGTGGGGGGTGGATGGCTGAATGGTTAGCACGTGCGCGCTGTACCATAAAGTCTGTCATTGAGTCAAGTGGCGTGGTTTCGAATCCCCGGATGTACGTGACAAGGAGTAGGGTCGCCTGTCCAACCTCATGAGTTTTCTTCGGGTCGTCCGGTTTCCTCCCACTGCTAAAGACCCCTACGCGCAAGCAAATTATTGAAATAAAATTAAACCATATGTTAGTCCCGAAATGACCTAGTTCGTGTCGGGTGGACGTTCAACCCCATTTCTCTCTCTCTCTCTCTCTCTTTCTTTGAGATTTAAATGTTATATTGGATGGCTCTGATTGTAAATTTAATAGAACGGTTTAGCCATTTAATGATTTAATTTAAAAATGGAGAAGCGTGGCTAAGACCCGAATGGCGAGAACAATGGTTATGATCAATGTACACATCTTGTCAAAACTACAGACATTGAAAACTTTGGTTAAAATAAAGTAATTTGAATAAAATTTTCAATCATATTCATTTTGCATTATCTATTTTTGAAATACCATAGCAAGAACGACCAGCTCTTTACCTAAATCTTACATAATGGCCCTTTTAATAAACAATGGCTTTTTTTGCCCTATTTAATTTCAACATAATTTATAGAGCTTAATAAGTTAAATAAGACTCACATAAGGTACCATGGGAAAAAGATAAAAATATATATTATGTTGAAGAATATAATGTGTCACATTAAGGCTTTCATATTAAGGAAAACACCAGACATATTGTTTCATTAAATGGTGACAATATTGATCCCACTTCAAACCCAGACTCATGACCACTTGTTAAACATTTAAATCACGTAAATAAAAATAAATCAAGCTTTGTTTACACTTACCTTTAACAACAAATAAGTTATCGATCTTTCGTGACTCGGATATATGTAGTTCTGCAAGGCTCTGTACTGTCACCTTAGTTGTTCAGTCACCACTGTTTAGACTCCATCTGCTCAACACCTGGGAAAATAAAACATTCCACTTTTAGGCATTAAAGACATACACAGCTATAGCCAATGAGCTGAAAGCTACTTTACTTAACAAAAGCTTGCAGTTGACATTGTACATTTAATAGTGTAGCCTGGTAGCATTATGGGTTATTGGGTAAATTGTATGCTAGCTGTGTGTTAGCTTGAGTTGGATAGGATAAAGACGGTTGATATTGAACAAGCCTCTTTGTTGCCTTTATAGGATATTATAGAATATGATAATCTCTTTTTCCCTCTCTCTTCTTATCAATATGATGTATGATTATATTAGTAATAGGATTTAGTGACATTACTTAATGACATAACCTATAGAGATAGACATCAATTATGATCATAACATAATATAACACAACTTGTGACACAACACAGGACTAAATATAGGGGGGGGGGGGGTCTTCTTTAGTAGAAATGGGAGAAAAACAACAGGGTTACAGGTGCGATTCTGCTTTGTGTCACCATCAATTTTAGGATTTAAATCAAGACCAATAGATGATACATCTAGATCTACATAATAATTTTAGAAATGAAATGGGATTTAATGTCCTAATGGGCTAATGAAGCAAGGCATACGCCATACAGTGTGCTATGAGGGAAATCTTGCCAGGACAGCGGTCTACTCTTATATGGAATTCGAAATGCCCAGGGTTCTTTTACGTGCAAGGAAGTGTGTACACAGAACGTTGGTTTTTGTCTAATCTGAACGACAATACATTGTCACTTGTCAATCCTGATGAACTTTCTCGGCCAACACCTGGAACGAACAAAGGACCTCAAGATAAGCGAGTCAACGTGGCTCCCTAATAATTTTAGAATCAACAGGTTGTATCTTGGGCATCTATTGCAATTGTACCATTTAACAGCAATATTGCAAATGAAATGGAATATTAAATGGGGTTTAACAAACTAGTTTGTTGCACCAGCTGCAAGAAGACGAAATAATATTTATGAACACACTGGCAATTGAAAAATATGAAAATAAACAATGAAAGACTCCATGGCAATCAAAAACAGCAGATTTTTATTTGTGGAATTAAAAATAACAAATGAAATTTGGAGAAACTCAAATACGGGGCAGGCAAGCAAAACTGTAGTTGTTTGCCATCCTACGACATCAATATTAAGGTCAAACCGTATAGATTGTAGAATAAACAAAATCTTGAGATTCAAATAAAACTCACACCTGATGTGATTGGCATTGCCAGAGAATGTTCCAATTAGCTACAATTAATGATAAATGTCACAAGACCTGGTGCAGTTACCATATTTATAATACTTGGTACCACATATGCTTAGCTAACAATTTTTAATGAACCGTTACTTTAACTTTTGTGGTCCTGGCTATTTTATAAATAAAGAAATAATATGAAGTATGATGTTTTTAATTATAGCCAAGTTAAAATAGCCTATAACATTTATTACATTATCTCAACATTGAGCCTGTTTAAAGTTCTGGCAAGTTACCCGAGTTATTGTCCGCTCTAACTGGGTTAAATCTAAGAGATATTATTTGTATTTTATTGATTAATACCGTGAGTAACACCTTTAACTTCTATCATATTGTGTTGGTGTAAATGAGATTATTGATTAATCTTCTCTGCAGATTGACTCTGTTAACGACAGATTAGATCCATATCATTAGACATTACACATTCAACAAGAGTTATTGCCCATTAGTAAGTCCTGTTTTGAAATAAGAACATCACTGCCCTTTTAAGACACCAAATAACTGGCTTATTCAAATAAAAGACCGTAATGTTGTTTTAGGAGAATTCAGCTTAAAAACATCTGATTGAGGAAGGCTGTGTCCGCTCCCAATACCATGAAATTTTTCAATACGACCAATTTAGTATTGGGCCCTTATTCACGAAAACTTAAACTAAGATGCAATCAAAATTTTAAGAAATACTGCAATTCGATTGGCTGTCCAGTAAAATCAATTTGCATATATCAAATGAAGTTGCAGTATTTCTTAAAATTTCGGTTGTAACTTAGTTTAAGTTTTCGTGAATAAGGGCCCTGGTAATTTAGAAATTCTGTACCCCCCCCCATCACCTTTTGGAATCCATGCATACCGCTGGAGTTATTCTGTTTACTCTCAGATACCTGTTCTATAAAAATGCCAAAAGGAGGGGACTTTTCCATGTTTATTTACATCTCAAATAATTAAACTTAACAAAACAAGAGCAGTTTGTTATTCACTAAAATGGCTGAAATTTAGTTTTATTTATCATATCATAAATACGATATGAAATTTTGAATTACACTTAGCTTTCATTAGAAGCTTAATAATAACTAACTAGTTCATTATAGGAATTCTCAATCTTCGATATTTACGTTTCAATTATATCATAAATCCTTACATTTTAAATTGGATGCTTTTGACATTACAACATTACTCATTTTCAGAGAGAGAGAGAGAAATGGGGTTTAATGTCCGCACGACACAAATTAGGTCAATTCGGGACTAATACATGGTTCAATTTTATTTCAATAATTCGCTAGCACGTAGGGGTCTTTAGGAGTGGAAGGAACCCGGAGGACCCAGAGAAAACCCACAAGGTTGGACAGACGACCCTACTACTTGTCACATACAACTGAGGAATCGAAACCAAGCCAGTTTACACAAGTCCAGAAATCACTTCTTAATTCAGACTTCCAATTTCTAATTCTAATATCCAATCAACATAATCAGGTTATAAAATTCTAACAATTTTGATCTCACATTACAAAACGTAGCCCTCATTATGAATCATGCATAGTAAACATGCACCAACACAGGTAGTTCAGCTTTGAACGTAGGTCTCATTACACTTGGCCTGTACGTTCAGGAACTCTCCTATTGAATCCTTGTCGAAATTCCAATGGCTTCCCAGTCAATTTTACTGGGCAACTTTTTACTGCTAAATGGTCGCGTGTCAGTCCCTGTGAGTGCCTGAACAATGTAACTGCATCTTAGTGAGAAAATAAGACCTTACTTACCTCGCTAGAACCAGTATGAGCGACACAACACGCTATTAAAAATACATCTCCGTCTTCTAACCAACTTGGCGGACTTCATTGAAAGGGTAACGCACAAATTTACGAACTCTGCCATATAAGATGAAACGAAATTTAGGTAAGCCTGGGGGAAAAATTTGGGATTTTTGAAAAAATTGGATTGTAAATTATTGTAATTTGGCTAGGCAAAGCAATAAATGACTGAAGATTCTCAACTTTTCAAAGATTTCAATTTTTTTCTCCCAGGCTTACCTAAATTTCGTTTCATCTTATATGGCCGAGATCGAAAATTTGTGTGTTACCATTTCAATGAAGTCCGCCAAGTCGGTTAGAAGACGGAGACATATTTTTTAACAGCGTGTTGTGTCGCTCATATACTGACTCTAGCGAGGTAAGCAAGGTCTTATTTTCTCACTAAGATGTTCCTTTACATTGTACAGGCGTTCACACGGATTGACACCCCACCGTTTAGCAGTAAAAAGTTGCCCAGTAAGATTGACTGGGGCGGATCTCAGTTTCAACAAGGATTCAATAGGAGAGTTCCTGAACGTACAGGTCGAGTGAAATGAGACCTACGTTCAGAGCTGAACTACAAAACAGGAAACTTGATATGCCACATATTCTGAACACCAACTTCAAAGAAAGTATGTCAGATGTCAATGTAGTAAATCAAAAACAAACCCAATTAACATACACATAGCATGATAGAGACATAATTTATTGACAAGTGTTTTTTTTTTTTTTTTAGGAGTGTATGTATTATAGGCTACAAATACACAACTTGTACATTCATTTGTCTGTTGACAATATAGCACTGCATTTGAGTATTCTCTAAATTTGTATATATAGTTAGTATGTATCGTTTTTGTGCGAAAATGGCCTGATTCCAAACAATCGTGATGACTGACACCTTGCAACTTGCAACGTGTCTGTGCTATAGCAATAGCCTAATAGGCGCTAGAGGAAGTTTGAAAGGAAGTGTCTCTTCCCCAACCACTTGACAACTTTTTATAAAGATGTCGACCGAAACGGTAAATAAGTAAGCAAACCATGCAATGTCTTTTCAGTTCAATGGCATATATGTTTATTACTAAAAAGGTAACACTTACCAATATCCTCGCAAAAACATTAAATTAGATCTTCATCAAGTATTTTTTCAATCATAGTCTTTCTCACAAACTGTGTTTATTTTTAGCAGTTTCTTATGGTGTCACGTGGGACTTCCGGTAAAATATAGAAATCACGTGATATGTAGTTATGTTTATCACGACTTACACCATATTATAAAAAAGAAAGTAGAGTACTCTGATTTTAGTTCAGCAACTCAAGCGATAAATACACTGATAGGCACGGATTTATAATTAATGGGCACTGCTATATACATGTAGCTATAAAGGATGATAAAGATGTAAATAACAGTTACCGATTACAGAACAGTAATTTTGTGTGTAAGCCCAAATTGTTTTTGGACCGTTTCTTACGATTAGGCCTATTTGGAAAAATAAACCCACTGTAAAATGGGCTAAAAAGTGCAAAATTATTACATGTTTCACATTTTCATACGTTTGCGCAATATTGTACTTAGCACAATTTTTATACGCCCACATTTTCACGTGGACGTATATTGTCGTCGCCCCTGTCTGTCCGGACGGATTAGTCGTTCGGATGGGACGAAAAACCGAGGTACCGTGTACACATTGGCGTGCACGTAAAAGATCCCTTGACAGTTGGAATTCGATATGAGAGTAGGCCGTAGTGCCGCTGTCCGGGCAAAATTTCCCTCATAGTCATAGCACACTGTATGGCGTATGCCCGTCTTCATTAGCCCATTTCGGAGCAGAACAGTAGGACGTTAAACCCCATTTCATTTCATTTCTGTCCGGACGGACGTCCACATTTTGTTTGTGCACAGTCTACAGGTCACAATTTTTATTCAATTTGGACGAAACTTAAAATATACATTAGGTCTATCTCCCAAAGATCTCGGTTCCTTACGATATTGACATATATCGGACCATAACCTCCTGGATTATGGCCCCTGATTGTACGAAAAATCACGTTTTTAGCTTGTGGACACTCTAGAGGTCACAATTTTCATCTGATTTTGATGAAACTTGAAATGCATGTTGATAACCCAAAGATCTTGGTTTCTGTCGATATTTGCATATATATCGGATCGTAACTTCCTGAATTATGACCCTGATTGTACGAAAAATCGCGTTTTTAGCATGTGGTTCCTCTAGAAGTCACAATTATCCGATTTAAAAAAAAGTTTGAAAATATCACCGTTACACTGTGTATTTGACGCTTGAGTTCGAATTTCGTGAAAATCGGACCAAAACTGCCGGACAAAACTGACGTACGTAAATAATGTAAAAATATGGTTTATCAAGGTTGTGGACCCTCTAGAGGCCACAATTTTGATCCGATTTTGATAAAACTTAAAATACATATTTATAACACAAAGACCGTGGTTCCCTTTGATATTCGCGCATATCGGATCATAACTTCCTGAATTATGGCTCTTGATTTTACGTAAAATCGCGTTTTTAGCTTGTGGTCCCTCTAGAGGTCACAATTATTATCCGATTTAAAAAAAAAACACATTTGTTTAGCTTGTTCTCCATCCATCTCTTGGAAAATGTGGCCGTGCTGGGACACTTGTCCATGGGGCCAGAGGTATGCCGAATAAGGATTATAATCGGATTCTTTTACTTCACTTTTTTGAAATAAAATGGTGAATCAAACAGTATAAGCCATCTGCTCGGGCCTTGAGGCCGCTGCCCGTCCTGTCCCGTTTGAGGTCCTCGTCACCGCCAAAGAATCCTGACCCCCTTTCGACTGAATCCAGTTCAACATGATTTTGGGTAGTTCACGCAATGAAAAAAATCATTTTCATATATTGGCGTCTGATGATCACGGTTCTTGTTTTTCCATTTGTTTGCTTGCTTAAAATTTCCTGTCAAAATCGTGTATATAATTTTTTTTATTATATATATTTGGTATGCCATAAGTTGTGTTAAATCTCAGTTTCTATGCTTTAGCAAAGTGACCTCCAGTTACTCCAGACATACTCCAAAATGACGCTAGAGGAGGCATGTATCTTTCAAAACATTTTCGAGCCAGAAGGGAGACCCCCCCCCCCCTTGCCGAGTTGCTCGTGGGCCCTTGAAAAGATAGCATAAGCACAATTATATGTGTGTATTTTATGTATATGAATATGTATAAACATGTATTATAAGTTCCATAGTATGAGCAGGTAAAAAAAGAACAATTTGGGGACCTTTTCTTACGATTTTTCCGAGAAAACACCAACGACAATGTGGACTAAAACGTGAAGTTTGTAACATGTAACATTTAAACAATTTGTGTTTCTCTGAATATTGTTCGTAGCGTAGTTTTGGTTTCTTGCCAATATGTGGAAACCCCTATAATGTAATATATATCTCAACTGGTCAAGCAAAAGTAGTATACAAGCACATTTAAACTTCTTTAAAGCACTGTATGTTTATTTCTGTAGAGGATCCGCCGAGCCGAACGATGCGAAAAAATTTTCTGAAAATAATAGTTACATTTTAATTTTTCAAAATGAACGCCCCTTACACCTTTTTCAGTCGTAGAGAGAGAGAGAAAGAAATGGGGTTTAACGTCCACTCGACACAAACTAGGTCAACTCGGGACTAAAATATGGTTTAATTTTATTTACATAATTCGCTTGCGCGTAGGGGTCTTTATCAGTGGGAGGAAACCGGAGGACCCGGAGAAAACGCACGAGGTTGGACAGGCGACCCTGCTCCTTGCCACGTACAACCGGGGATTCGAAACCACGCCAGTCGACTCAATGACAGACTTTATGATACAGCGCGCGCACGCTAACCATTCAGCCACCCAACCCCCCATTTTTCAGTCGTACTTAGAATCCCCCAAACCCGAAACGAAAACCAAGCCCTACTGATCCGACAGCCCAGAATAGTTGGTATGTCGAAAACCCTAAAAAGGATAAATAAATGAAGAATATATGGGATATTACAAGTTTATAGAGAATTGCCAATAAAATTATGAGGTTAATATCGTAAAACAGTGTTGACTCCAAGAATCATTTTTATTATAATGAAGCCATATTTTAAAAAAAAAGAATTGCCAATAAAAAGACTGGAGGGGGCGGAGGGGGGGGGGCATAATATAACATGGTTAACAATCACTATGTTATATACACAGGACGTTTCGACGAGTTTTCACTGGTCGTTATTAAGCATAGGCTAAAAAATAACAAATTTGTAAATGTGTATACCTGATAATGAAATCTTGTGGAAACGCCGTGTGCATATAATATAGTGATTGTTATCCACAGAACTGGGTTGTGTTATATAAATATTAATTAGTATTTTCTTTTTCACCTCGCTCCAATTGAGGTATAACTAGAAAGGTTCATCGCTGCAAGTGCTTCCTGTCAAAATTACAGCGCAACTCAAGATGCCACCACAGTCTCAACTGTAGCAAGTAATAAACGTACACCTCTGACCAAACGAGGTTTCATGAAATTATTAAAATGTTCAGAGCTTTCACAAAATCCCAAGTTTCACAACCTTAATCTAACATACAATGTACATTCGATCTTTTTCGTACCATACATTTTATAACATATTGATTTTCTTGTAGTTGACATTGTTCAACCATTAATGAAAGATGGAAAAAAAAGAATCGATCAAAATCTAACGAAAAACGATCTTAACCCAATAAAAGCTGTTGTCCCCATTGGACAAGCTCGTACCAAATTACGAAATCTTGCAAATAGAATGAAAGTATACTGTAAATGGAAAGAAACACATACATGCGGTACAATAATTATGTTCTATCTGGTACTGTTTCTGAAACCTCAGCGCTGTCTAAACGCTGAAAATTTTGAGTTGAAATTTGAATAAGTTTAGTAGCTTTCTATATAAAAGTCCTCAAAATTCATAAGGTACGCTTTAAACTGACTCTGAACTTTCATTGGTACCTCATAGTCCATCGATGCCCACATGGCCAGAGGTTATATAATATTGTCAAAACAAAGATGATATGAGATTGGACAATTCCAAAATAAATTTATTGGATTATAACATTAAGAGATATGGACGGGAGAACTGTTTTGTGATTCGCTGTACCCAAAGTCTACCACCCAGCCACCCATCCTCTCTCCACGCAAGCAGACATCTGGTTCAACAGGACATATGTAGTGTTTCACCACGAAAAGTGAAAGACAACAACTTAAAATGGTATACGACCTCTCTTGACTATACTAACATAACTTAAAAATACTACCGTGCTTCCTTTCCAACAACAAATTTAACTATTAACTTAAATTAATTTATGTGATGGACAGATTTAAGTATCTATGCACATCTAATACTTTCTGGAATTGTCTAGTTTGGTTTGAGTACTGGCGACAAAATTTAAGTTGATCAAAATGGATGGATCAGAATTGTCGAGCTCCCCGAAAACTACGTATTCCGATTTTTTAATTTGCATAATATGTAAAAATCACTGAGCTAATTTCTGAAGGGTTTAATACTGAAATTTCTCTATGATTGTAATCATATTATTTTTGATGGAAGTCATCATAACATAGTTTAATCGGGTTCAGAATTTATATACAATAAGCATAGTAATGTGCTACAATGCCCCTGTCTGTCCGGACGGATTAGTCGTTCGGATGGGACGAAAAACCGAGGTACCGTGTACACATTGGCGTGCACGTAAAAGATCCCTTGACAGTTGGAATTCGATATGAGAGTAGGCCGTAGTGCCGCTGTCCGGGCAAAATTTCCCTCATAGTCATAGCACACTGTATGGCGTATGCCCGTCTTCATTAGCCCATTTCGGAGCAGAACAGTAGGACGTTAAACCCCATTTCATTTCATTTCTGTCCGGACGGACGTCCACATTTTGTTTGTGCACAGTCTACAGGTCACAATTTTTATTCAATTTGGACGAAACTTAAAATATACATTAGGTCTATCTCCCAAAGATCTCGGTTCCTTACGATATTGACATATATCGGACCATAACCTCCTGGATTATGGCCCCTGATTGTACGAAAAATCACGTTTTTAGCTTGTGGACACTCTAGAGGTCACAATTTTCATCTGATTTTGATGAAACTTGAAATGCATGTTGATAACCCAAAGATCTTGGTTTCTGTCGATATTTGCATATATATCGGATCGTAACTTCCTGAATTATGACCCTGATTGTACGAAAAATCGCGTTTTTAGCATGTGGTTCCTCTAGAAGTCACAATTATCCGATTTAAAAAAAAGTTTGAAAATATCACCGTTACACTGTGTATTTGACGCTTGAGTTCGAATTTCGTGAAAATCGGACCAAAACTGCCGGACAAAACTGACGTACGTAAATAATGTAAAAATATGGTTTATCAAGGTTGTGGACCCTCTAGAGGCCACAATTTTGATCCGATTTTGATAAAACTTAAAATACATATTTATAACACAAAGACCGTGGTTCCCTTTGATATTCGCGCATATCGGATCATAACTTCCTGAATTATGGCTCTTGATTTTACGTAAAATCGCGTTTTTAGCTTGTGGTCCCTCTAGAGGTCACAATTATTATCCGATTTAAAAAAAAAACACATTTGTTTAGCTTGTTCTCCATCCATCTCTTGGAAAATGTGGCCGTGCTGGGACACTTGTCCATGGGGCCAGAGGTATGCCGAATAAGGATTATAATCGGATTCTTTTACTTCACTTTTTTGAAATAAAATGGTGAATCAAACAGTATAAGCCATCTGCTCGGGCCTTGAGGCCGCTGCCCGTCCTGTCCCGTTTGAGGTCCTCGTCACCGCCAAAGAATCCTGACCCCCTTTCGACTGAATCCAGTTCAACATGATTTTGGGTAGTTCACGCAATGAAAAAAATCATTTTCATATATTGGCGTCTGATGATCACGGTTCTTGTTTTTCCATTTGTTTGCTTGCTTAAAATTTCCTGTCAAAATCGTGTATATAATTTTTTTTATTATATATATTTGGTATGCCATAAGTTGTGTTAAATCTCAGTTTCTATGCTTTAGCAAAGTGACCTCCAGTTACTCCAGACATACTCCAAAATGACGCTAGAGGAGGCATGTATCTTTCAAAACATTTTCGAGCCAGAAGGGAGACCCCCCCCCCCCTTGCCGAGTTGCTCGTGGGCCCTTGAAAAGATAGCATAAGCACAATTATATGTGTGTATTTTATGTATATGAATATGTATAAACATGTATTATAAGTTCCATAGTATGAGCAGGTAAAAAAAGAACAATTTGGGGACCTTTTCTTACGATTTTTCCGAGAAAACACCAACGACAATGTGGACTAAAACGTGAAGTTTGTAACATGTAACATTTAAACAATTTGTGTTTCTCTGAATATTGTTCGTAGCGTAGTTTTGGTTTCTTGCCAATATGTGGAAACCCCTATAATGTAATATATATCTCAACTGGTCAAGCAAAAGTAGTATACAAGCACATTTAAACTTCTTTAAAGCACTGTATGTTTATTTCTGTAGAGGATCCGCCGAGCCGAACGATGCGAAAAAATTTTCTGAAAATAATAGTTACATTTTAATTTTTCAAAATGAACGCCCCTTACACCTTTTTCAGTCGTAGAGAGAGAGAGAAAGAAATGGGGTTTAACGTCCACTCGACACAAACTAGGTCAACTCGGGACTAAAATATGGTTTAATTTTATTTACATAATTCGCTTGCGCGTAGGGGTCTTTATCAGTGGGAGGAAACCGGAGGACCCGGAGAAAACGCACGAGGTTGGACAGGCGACCCTGCTCCTTGCCACGTACAACCGGGGATTCGAAACCACGCCAGTCGACTCAATGACAGACTTTATGATACAGCGCGCGCACGCTAACCATTCAGCCACCCAACCCCCCATTTTTCAGTCGTACTTAGAATCCCCCAAACCCGAAACGAAAACCAAGCCCTACTGATCCGACAGCCCAGAATAGTTGGTATGTCGAAAACCCTAAAAAGGATAAATAAATGAAGAATATATGGGATATTACAAGTTTATAGAGAATTGCCAATAAAATTATGAGGTTAATATCGTAAAACAGTGTTGACTCCAAGAATCATTTTTATTATAATGAAGCCATATTTTAAAAAAAAAGAATTGCCAATAAAAAGACTGGAGGGGGCGGAGGGGGGGGGGCATAATATAACATGGTTAACAATCACTATGTTATATACACAGGACGTTTCGACGAGTTTTCACTGGTCGTTATTAAGCATAGGCTAAAAAATAACAAATTTGTAAATGTGTATACCTGATAATGAAATCTTGTGGAAACGCCGTGTGCATATAATATAGTGATTGTTATCCACAGAACTGGGTTGTGTTATATAAATATTAATTAGTATTTTCTTTTTCACCTCGCTCCAATTGAGGTATAACTAGAAAGGTTCATCGCTGCAAGTGCTTCCTGTCAAAATTACAGCGCAACTCAAGATGCCACCACAGTCTCAACTGTAGCAAGTAATAAACGTACACCTCTGACCAAACGAGGTTTCATGAAATTATTAAAATGTTCAGAGCTTTCACAAAATCCCAAGTTTCACAACCTTAATCTAACATACAATGTACATTCGATCTTTTTCGTACCATACATTTTATAACATATTGATTTTCTTGTAGTTGACATTGTTCAACCATTAATGAAAGATGGAAAAAAAAGAATCGATCAAAATCTAACGAAAAACGATCTTAACCCAATAAAAGCTGTTGTCCCCATTGGACAAGCTCGTACCAAATTACGAAATCTTGCAAATAGAATGAAAGTATACTGTAAATGGAAAGAAACACATACATGCGGTACAATAATTATGTTCTATCTGGTACTGTTTCTGAAACCTCAGCGCTGTCTAAACGCTGAAAATTTTGAGTTGAAATTTGAATAAGTTTAGTAGCTTTCTATATAAAAGTCCTCAAAATTCATAAGGTACGCTTTAAACTGACTCTGAACTTTCATTGGTACCTCATAGTCCATCGATGCCCACATGGCCAGAGGTTATATAATATTGTCAAAACAAAGATGATATGAGATTGGACAATTCCAAAATAAATTTATTGGATTATAACATTAAGAGATATGGACGGGAGAACTGTTTTGTGATTCGCTGTACCCAAAGTCTACCACCCAGCCACCCATCCTCTCTCCACGCAAGCAGACATCTGGTTCAACAGGACATATGTAGTGTTTCACCACGAAAAGTGAAAGACAACAACTTAAAATGGTATACGACCTCTCTTGACTATACTAACATAACTTAAAAATACTACCGTGCTTCCTTTCCAACAACAAATTTAACTATTAACTTAAATTAATTTATGTGATGGACAGATTTAAGTATCTATGCACATCTAATACTTTCTGGAATTGTCTAGTTTGGTTTGAGTACTGGCGACAAAATTTAAGTTGATCAAAATGGATGGATCAGAATTGTCGAGCTCCCCGAAAACTACGTATTCCGATTTTTTAATTTGCATAATATGTAAAAATCACTGAGCTAATTTCTGAAGGGTTTAATACTGAAATTTCTCTATGATTGTAATCATATTATTTTTGATGGAAGTCATCATAACATAGTTTAATCGGGTTCAGAATTTATATACAATAAGCATAGTAATGTGCTACAATGCCTCTATGTTATTATAGTATGACTAAATAGCTTTTTCTAACATAAAATAATTCTTAAGAATGCATTAGTTTTCGTCGCCTTTCTGGCGCAAAGCTCCCGCTTAGAGGTGACAGCTCCGCCATATAGTCACGCCTTGTCTCTGTTTATCCTTTTAAATCTATTTTCCTTGCGATGTTTCATTGTATTCCAGTGATAGGCATATTACGTTTAGTCAAAAGGCGCGTTATATTCGTAAATACCTTTCTTAACTCCCCGTAAAATATGTGCTCTTCGTGGAAAATTACTTGACATTCTGCAAAGACCTTGCGAATTTAAGACACTACGCTCATTGTTGATATATTATTCACAATCCAATAGAGCTTCAGTATTTATATAAATTTCATTTCATGAGCATTTCGATATTAACTCGATTCTTTACACCAGGCGAATCATCTTAATTGCGGGTTCATTGATAAAAAACCGAAAAATAAAATGGCATGCTGTGACGCCGCACTAGAGTTTCTAAAGTCAGTTATATCCTTCCCAAGATCACAACTCGCTTCATGTTGACTCTTATTGTAAAAGTGGCACCGTGCTGAGACCGATTTTCCTTGGAATTAAGAAAGCGTAAACCGTTTTCAATTGGTATAAAGGGTGTTTCATTATTCTGAACAGATTAAATTTGAGGAGATCTTAACAACGATATATGAGCAATCTCTTTTTCTTTTCCATTATAATAAAGCGATGTGCTACGAATGAGGTAATTTGATTATAATTTAGATAAATCAAATTATAACAAAAATATGGAAATCTGTTCAAAATGTGTTCAACTTTTCGAAAGCAGAAGAAAAGGAGACATACTAGACTTGCTATTCACACGCTTTAACATTATAGCCTACACTTTTAGTATCAGTTAATTTTTAAAAATATATTTTTTATTCCTAAATAATAGACCGGTCGTTATAATTTGTCAAGTGCATGCTATGATAGTCTTCACGATATTTATCAACATAACTTTCAAGGTTTTAATACATGAAGAGCGAGAGGCGTAACGACGACTAATTCAATCAAATATGGTGTCAAAACGCGTGAATTGCATTTGTTGTAGCCTTAAGTGTTATAAAATTATGGAATTAATTCGACCATAGATAATCCATTAACTATATTCATAGCTTCCACTGAAGCGGATCACACATTTTTTTCAAATTGTTGATGAATCCAGTTAAAGATTGTACTACCTAAACACGTGACTTTAACACTCATCCAATCGCTCGGTTGGAAACCAATGGAGTTTTTACCGAAAAGAAAATTGACATTATGGCCAGCTAAATTTACTTATAAAGTTAAAGAATAAGCAAGTGTTCATGGTTGAAGAATATATCTTTACGTGAGGTGAAAGTAGAGCGAAAATGTTGAGTTCAATTTTACCATTCCCACTGTCAGAATTTGGATTATTGCATCCTATGCCATTAGAAGGTATTTTACATCATTATGATCTTAGATAGATTTCGCTAATGTTAACTTTGTTAAAGCTTTGAGTTGTAACTTCGATCTAAGAATTATTGCTTAACCCATCGTAATTGTTAACAGTGTTTAAAATGATTTGAGAACATGTATTTTAATATTTAAAAGATACTTAACCTGTGACATAAGCTTACACATAAATTTGAATTTGTATAAAATTGATAAAGTCTTTGGAACTTTGTCGCATCAACGATGTAGTACCAAAACCGAATTTAATGATGTTTTGAATATTGCATATAATTAATGACATGCACGTATAAACTATTGGTCTGGTTATCGTCTTTATTTTCAAACTACACAAAAAGCATAGGTTTGGAACGAGAACCCTGTGACACACCATATAATTAGAATTACGGCGAACTTACATGCACAACAAAACAAACAAGTGAAATAGAAGAAATGTCCTCTTTTATTTGCGATATGATGTTTGTTTAGTATTCATTTTCAACGGTGTTTAAATTTAATCACCGTAACTTCCGATGTGGTACCTAATTTAAGGGTGTTTTGAATATTGCATACTAATAATCAGTACTATGAAAGTGCATAATTTTGTGGTCTGGCTATAGTCATTGTTTAGTTGAATAAATCTATTTCACAAACTATCTTAAAAGCATTGGTTTGAAACGAGAATCCTATGCCGCACCTAAATTACAAATACATGTATACGGCGAACGCACACAACAAACATAAACACATTCAATACATGTCCTCTTTTGCTTCTAAAAATATGAGAGTTTTCCTTTGTATTCATATTAGATTAAAAATCATAAACAGGGTGACCTTTCTAGTAGTATAATAAGACTTAGTTAAATTTTGAAATGTGTTTAATTTTAATCACTGTAACTGTCATTCAAAATAAATTGAAAGCTTCATTAATGCAATTCTAAAACTTATGCTCTTAAGCGCAAATGTATACGTGTATAGATATCTCTAAGCGTGAGGCGAATGATTTAAATAAAAAGATAAGACATGTTCAAGTCATTATAAAGGTCGAAAGATGCCTTAACTCCATCCATTGCCTCACATCTTTTATCTACCTTTTATAATTCAAATTATGTTCTGTGAATAATTAATGTCACGCGCCTATTATTAAATCCTTTACGTTCGGTGTAAAATAAATTCATTTTAAAGGAAGCCTACTATTTTATGAGAAGACTGTATATGCATGGAGGGTGTAATGAAAGGTGTGTAGAGAATAGTAGCTCTAATATATAATAGTTGGTTTAATATTTATAACATGCATTAGTTTTCATTTTAGATCCTGTTTAGTCACTTTTTCAGAAACTTGAATTTAATTTATTTTATTATAATCAGATCCTTGGAAATGATATTTAACAAAAGTAAATTTCAGACCGGTTTTAAGATTAGTTGAATTAGACTAAATTAATGTTCTAGTCTCTCCTGATATAGATTAAAGATTTTGGATATTACACAAAACTTAAAAGCTTGTTGCGTGCAAAGCTTAGGGATGACATGCTATAGAATGTCGGTAAGTTATTTTTGGTAAAAATATGAACCGTTCTTTTCGACAAAATAAAATAGAGAAGTCGGCAGAGATATAAACTAGTCGGCCCATATCTTGGAGAAAAAGAATGGTGTCGTAATTTATGGAAATATCGCGCTACTGGTATAATATTCAGTGTTAGATATTTTGATGATAAAGAAATGATGTTTAAAATAAACGATGTCTTGAGCCAAAGACAAGTTCTTATAAAAGTTTCGCGAGTTAATTTTCTTGTTAAAAGTACCGTTTTTTTTTTATCTTTGTTAAATCACAGATGGTTTATAAAAATCCCCAAACTATAAATATAAAAAGGGACTTTTTTAAATCTAGCGACAGTCTAAATTTAAATAACACGTTTAAAAATCATAAAATAATTATAATAAAGAAATATTCAATGGATTTATTGAACGGAAAACATAGTATATTTGCTGTATTTATAATATTATACATAATGTTGGTGATGTAAAGCAAGAGAAAATCTAGTAAACTTCAACCGATCATAAGTTTTAAGTTGATCTTAAACTCTGTATTTGCGTTTATTCTAGCTTCTTGCAATTTCAAAGCTGAGTTATAATATGAATACGTTCGTGTTTTATTTTCTTTTGGGTGATAATTATTTATTTATCTATTCTGTTACCAGGACAAGGCAGAATAAATCAGTTGGGTGGTGTCTTCATCAATGGACGCCCACTTCCAAGTCACATACGACTCAAGATTGTGGAACTTGCGGCTCAAGGCGTGCGTCCATGCGTTATCAGTCGGCAACTTCGAGTATCGCATGGTTGTGTTTCCAAAATTCTGCAGCGGTACCAAGAAACTGGCACAATCCAACCTGGAATGATTGGAGGCAGTAAACCTAGGATAGCACCGTCGGATATAGAGCAGCGAATAGAAGAACTGAAGAGAGAAAATCCCAATATCTTTAGTTGGGAAATCAGAGATAAACTTTTAGAAGAACGGTTATGTGACAAACGAACTGTACCGACTGTTAGTTCCATTAGCCGTGTCGTACGAGCTAAACTACAAACTTCAGATTCAAGTGAACAGCAGCATGTATTTGTCGATGATAATGATGATGATGGTGATAATGATGAAGATGACGACGATAAGGATGGATATAATATGGGAAATTCTTCAGATAGAAATAACTTCAACACCCATCAAGGTAAATGTTTTATTATATATTATTATGTTTTTGTTAGTTATTTTAATGCAATCAGGATACGGACCATAAGATTATGTATTAAAATAGCCGATGCTGGTGGGCAGAATAAACAGGAGCCAAAAACCAACAACAGCAACAGTCCAGTAGTTGTTAAATACAAAAGTAAATAAGTTAACTAATTGAATTATAATAGAAAGTGGCATCGGGTGTTCTAGAAAGAGTAAAACTAACAGAATAAAAATGGAAAACATTGTAATATGTTGTTGTATCAAGAACCAGACTGAAAGTTATATTCGTAGGCACTAAATTACTATCAGCTTTTAATGGCGTCAATTGCCAAATTTCATTTTTTAAAACTATATGATTAATTTTATTTTCCAATGTTTTAAAACACACTATGAGTACCTATAACTGTCGTGAAGAGGTCCATTTCATGCTGTACTATCCTCATATCAACGTAATATTTTAGTTCTATGTTACACATCGGAAGGTTGAAAAAATGAAATGAAATGGGGGTTTAACGTCCTACTGTTCTGCTCCTAACCTGGGTTAATGAAGACGGATCGGAAGGTTGAAGTGATTTAAAATTTTAGCAATAGTTAGACAAAAAAAAAAAAAAGATAAAAAGAGAAAATTGAGGTTCCTTTGAATATATGTAAAATTGCTTGATCTTTCTTTTCTAAATTATCAAGCAGACAAGATATTTAGCTTTTTGTAATTAATAACGATTACTGTATTTTTGAAAAATTAGTTTGACTAATTCTTTTCAAAAATAAATTAAAAATATTGAAATAAAACTTAACTCACACATAGATTGAAACACCAATTAAGAAAATCCGTCATAGATATCATGTTAAAATTTAAAAAAAATAGAAACCTTTATTTTTAAAGGAGCTAAATCCGTATTCTTTGGCACCTAGAAATGGACACAAATGGGTCGCAATGCTTATAATAATGTAATATGAATGTATATAAACTGATTTACATTCAATCGTTTTTGTGTTTACTGTAATTGCTAATCAGTTATGTTCGGCGAAATACGCGAAGAGTCCAAATTGAATGACAGTTTTTGGCGTCTGGTTAGTCTACAGTCTACACTGGTAGTATTCTCTTGTGCGGTATAATATGCTTAGCCTCGTTCATCGAGTCGCTTCATTACAAATGACGCTCGAAATCATTCTGGCTCGCGATTCGTGTGCCCATTTTAAGATTTTCATTGTGTCTTAAATATTGGATATCAGAAGCCAATCTTTTCACGGTAAGATAACAACATCAATGTTGATTTAAATTGACCTATAAGTCTTGTTTGCAATGCCGAAGACTGGATGATATTGAGTTAAAGACTTGCCTCCCTTCAACTAGGGCTTAATAAGATTTATGCAAATCCCTATTTACTTTTGTTTATATTATATCTTCAGTTAGGGCGACATATTTAAAACCCCCATAATTTAATTGCAATTTAAAAAGGAACAAAAAAAAATAACTATTGATTTAATCCCTATTTTTTTCATCTGAAATATGCCATACGTGAAGTATATTTAGAGTATAGGCGCTTTCAACAAAATATCTAATAGCAATTTGTTTCGCATTTTGTTTTATTATAACAGATTCAACAAACACGACTACTACGGCAATATTACAGATAAAACGTAAAATGCGACGTAGTAGAACAACGTTTTCTGGACAACAATTAGAAGAATTGGAAAAAACTTTTGAAAAAACACACTATCCAGATATTTATACCCGGGAAGAACTTGCGCAAAGAACAAAACTAACAGAAGCTCGAGTTCAAGTGTGGTTCAGTAACCGACGTGCAAGATGGCGGAAACAAATAGGCAGCAACCAGATAATGGGTGTTAATTCTCTGAATATTGACACTAACCCTTCATATTCCTTACTGGATACTTGTGGTAAATATTTCTAAGATTATTAACAAATTATATACATATAAGTGATAGTTATCTCTAATTATGCCAGCAGCTTTTCAATATACATAATCGGGGCTATAGACTAACCATAAAACACGAAAGAGATGGTAAAGGTAAATCGATTATCCAGACACCGGATATCTCATAACGTCAACTTTTGTGTCCACCACAAATTACTTTGTTAAATGTAGCTGTACTGTCTGGCAATATTTATTTTAAAAAAAGAATCAATATACATACTATCGCAGAGTTATCTTATCTAAGATTGGTGCTAACCATTTGTTTTTTAGAAGCTTTGGTAAAACAACGCCAACACCTGGATTCATGTCTTCGTCAACAACCAATTTATTCTGGTTTAATGGGCACACATGTACCACAATCTTATCAGGTAAACACCTCTATACAACATTCTTATCAGGTAAAACAACCATATACCACAATCTTATCAGGTAAAACACCCATATACCACATTCATATCAGCTAAACACACATATATCACAATCGGATCCGGTAAAACACCCATATAAAACAATCTTATCAGGTAAAACATCCATATACCACAATCTTATCAGGTAAAAACACCCATATACTACAATCTCATAAGGTAAAACGCCCATCCCATACACCACATTCATACCAGGTAAACACCCATATACCACAATTGGATCAGGTAAAACACCCATATAAAACAATCTTATCAGGTAAAACACCAATATACCACAAACATACACCACAATCTTATCGGGTAAAACACCCATATACCACAATCTTATCAGGTAAAATACCCATATACTACAATCTTATCAGGTAAAAACACCCATATACCACAATCTTATCAGGTAAACACAGATATATACCACATTCTTATAAGGTAAAACACCCATATACCACTTTGATCAGGTAAACACACATATACCACCTTCTTATAAGGTAAAACACCCATGTACCAGAATCTTATCAGGTAAATCACTCATACACCATGGTGTTATCGTTTAAAACTTTCATATCACGCTTAAAACATTTACATCACGCTTAAAACCAATCTGATTAAAATACAGGGGCCCGTTTCACGAAATTTTAACTAAGATAAAATCCAAATTTTAACTAAGATAAAACCCAAATTTTAACTAAGATAAAACCCAAATTTTAACTAAGATAAAATCCAAATTTTAACTAAGATAAAATCCAAATTTTAGTAATTCGATTGGATAATATATATTAGATTGATTTTAGTGCTTAGCCAATCAAAATTGAAGTATCTACTAAAACTTGGATTTTATCTTTAGTTAAGATTTCGAGAAACAGGGCCTAGATCTATATTTCGTTTTGTTTTTTTATACTTTCGATGGCCTACACTACATGAGGACCTGATAAGTTGTACTGGGAGGTCACGTCAGGGGTCATACGAACGGCTTTTGACCCTATGACGCCAGAAATTGATTAATCAATCAACGTTGACATTTCTAGGGGTTTATCCACAGTTCCGTGCAGAGTACGCCAAGAACTCGCCGTAACAAACCGTTTCATTGGCTAATTCCTCACATGAGTAGAACGCCTGTTATATAACAACTCTTCTAGATCCTAGCCGTGTTGTGAAGACAATTAAAACGAAACGAAATAGGGGATGTCGTGTTTTAATTAGACTGAGTTAAAACACTCATATGCCACAGCAACGTACGGATACGCCACATTCGTATCTGGCAATAAAACACTTCTCATAGTTTTGTTGGGTAAACCACTAATATACCACAGTCTTATCTGGTAAACTACTCATTTTCCACAGTTTTATCAGCCAAACTACTCACCCGGCACAATATTGTCGACTAAACCACTAATTCATCCTTAATTGGCAATTATTAAGCCAGGAAAGGAGTATACATACAATACATATTATGGCAATTTAAACAGCATATAGACAAGTGCAAACATACCAATACAATATATTAGTGCAATCACTAAACACTATGGAACGGAATGCAAGATAAATACATATTATATCGTAAATTGACAATATCGCGACAGTATCGTGATGTCGGCTTATGAATAGGTCGAGATTTTACATGACCCCTAGTAGTCACAATATATAATACAAGACCGCTATTGTAAAATACATCTTTAAAGAGAAATATTTGTTACCTTTTAATTTTGTCTTTTTTATCCTGTCAAAATGTTTACGACTAAACAACTAGACTACAATCTAGTAATTTTGGAAACAGAACAAAATACAAATTACAATTACGATATGTAAGTAAGAAGTTACATGCATTGAAGTAAGCATATTTACACTACTAGATGAAGAGCTAGAGTTATGTCGTGCATTCCGCTCCATAAAAAACACAATCGAATATGTAAGATACTAAATGTCCTGATCCTCATCACCTGTAGCTACGAGTCCAGTACTGGTCACAATTTCAAATACACGTTTTCAAAGTGTGGTTGTTTTCTTTATTATTATAATTATGGATCTTCACGCCAATGGAAAATTTGTTCATTACAGGTTATCTCCCTTTAATAGTATTTCGCGAGCTAATTTATTTTCTGATGATGCTTGCAGTCGTCAGACGCCGACTATCTAGTTAATTACGAAAAGACTGCCTTAAATGCATGTTAATGGTCAACCTGTCTCTTTAAACTAATTCATTTTATTGCCAGCCCAAAATGGCGAATCCCGTATACACATGAAAATTTGGGCTATAATGATGTCCGAATACAGTCTGTGTGGGAAGTTCCTGCCCATTCATCGAATATTAAAACTGTGAGAGGTGTATCTTGCTTTGATAACATCTTTGAATTTATTGAGTGTTTTAGTTTATTCAGTTTTTGTACTGTTAATTTGATTTGTTTAAATGTAATATTGTCTTTCTGTTTTCATGTATCAGATGGTAATTAAAACACTGCAATGTGCCTCATTTTCATACATTTCTTTTTTTTTACTCTAGAGTCCTTTAAGAGGATTAAATATGAATGGTGTAATACCAGTTAGTACTGTAATGGCATCACAGATTAGTTCCAGACCTACCACTGTTAATTCTTTTCATCATCCTAATTTCCTACCATTGCCTACAAACTCTCTATTACCATCTAAATATTGGAATTATTCGTAAAATATCTAATTGTTCAATAAATATATATATTTTCGTTAAATCATAACTTGAGTTTGATTTGAAGAATAGGCATGAATACTGACGCTGTAATGCGGTAAAAGACTTCAAAGACAGAACATAGTTATGTATCCACGATAAGAAAATCTCCCCTGTACTCCAGCCCCTTCAGCTCAATAACATACAGAAGCTTAGATCAATAAAGTTTCTGAATTTCTTTTTAAAGACGCGTTTTGGTATAAAAACTGAACCGGTCGCAGAGGCGTGCTGGGGGCTCCGAAGGAGGGTAGGCAGATCAAACTTAGGGCACTTAAGGAAGCGGAGAGGCAGTGTCAGTAAAGTTTTGGTTCTGTGGCAGAATTGATTTGACATATTTCTGAGCCAGGACATACCATACACTGACAATTGGTTGAAGAATTAGTCCTGGAGATCTGAACATGAACATTGTTAGCAACAATCAGTATGTACTTAAGATCTGAACATGAACTTCCCCTTGTCAGTGGTGCAGAGCGGAGGGCTTGACAAGGACAGCTGTCTAGTCCTTCGGATGATACGAACAACCGAGGACCTGTGTATACATTGGAATGCACGCAAAAGATCCCTTGGCAGTTGGAATTCGATATAAGAGTAGGCGATAGTGCCGCTGTCCGGGCAAAATTTTCCTCATAGCACACTGTATGGCGTATGCCCGTCTTCATTAGCACAGTATAGGAGGCGGTGGTTGTTTTTGAGGGATCGATGCTTTATGGATGACAAACGTTATTTTATAAAGGACATGGGCTGTTTTATGAATGGCTGGGCACTTTGATGTGAGAAGTGATCGATGGTGCATGTAAGTACATTGAGCGCGATTGTTTTTTATTAGTGTCCCAGTATCTTGTTGGAACACGGGAAGGGCAGCAGGAAAAGAGGGCACAATATCGACATAAGGACAATTGGAATAGGATGACATTGACGTGGGCATTTCCATGAGTATTTGAGGTATCTCTAATTTTGAGGGTACTTTTTCAGAATGGAGGATACTATTTCAGAAGGTAGGGCACTATTTCAGAAGAGAGGGCACTTTTTAATAGGGGGTGGGGGGCACTTTTTCGGAAGGGAGGGCATACAGTCACCCCACCTCCTATATTCTGGTTGGAAATCACATTGGATTCGGGTTTCTATCAATTATCAAGCATTTGCGGTTACTTTTGTATCTTGCATTTAAGAGGTCTGTCGGTCTGCCGCATGTACGTGGTAAAGCTTTGTGTTGGGGTGCCTACTGTGTTCTTTCATTTTATTTTTACAGACTAACATACGCCCGCATTTAAATCTGATCGTATGTTGTAGCCAACCCTTGCCTGCCCAACTTCCTATGAGACCTGTATATCGAAACGCCGTCAGAGATACCTAATAATCTTTCACTGAACTCGTACACCAGTTATAAACAGATTAATATACAAGTCAGTATTTTGAGATAGAGATTAATTGTTCGCCTTTAGTTATAAGAATACATATGATGGAATTGATTTTGCGAAGCTTTTCCACACTTTATCGTGTGCGTAAGATTTTTAAAACATTGTATCTTGGTCCGGTACATCTAGGTGAAGCTCTGTGATTAATTTGGATTTCCACATTTTCATCAACGTTTACACCGTTGTCGTCTTCGCAACTTTAACTTGCTGTACTGTACTCCCTATACTTCTTATATCATAAACATTTATGATCTAATAAAACTTTGAATTTAAAAACTCGCCAAAATATATCTAAAACACAGTCGTGTGATTGTCACCATTTAAATCACTAAAAAATAATCAATATCTCTTACACTGAAAGATGGAATCTCTGTGTTTCTTTAAGTGTTATTAGAGTGAGAGGCCAAAGCATGGGATCGTGGTCAGGACGCCATGTTTACGTGACGGACACTTGGTGATATCGACAATAAGTGATCAGTTAAACCACCTGGCAAATAAACTTAATTCGAATATCTTCCAGGTAACATGTAATGGCTTCCGTAGATTAAACTACGACTGAGCCGAAAACAAATAATCATTCACTGCAATGTTTGTTCTCTTTACGCCGAGCTTTCGCTACGGTTTGTTTGACGATATCGACCGCAGTAATACAGTGACAGAAAGTTTCGTACTTTTAGCATGACGATACACCTGGAGGAAGCAATATGGCTTTATCTATTTTGTGGATATTATTAACAGTGTTCCTTTTAAATAATGACAATGGCATCGTTTGTGAGGATGTTTTAGGAGAAATTACTGATGATTTTGATTTCGATGGAATTCCCGGTGCGACACACGAATTTAAAGTCGAGATATTCAGTGGAGCAGAGGATTGCTTCTATCTAAAAATAGCAAGCGGGGCTAAACTACATGTGTCTTTTGAGGTATGTCATTCTAATATACTTTACACCAAACCCCCCAAAAAAACCCCCAAAAAACAAAACAAATCCAAACAATGTTCAAAACATTTAGACGAACATTGCCTTGTAAACCAGATTTATTTAGTTTGTCAAACAAGCAATGCAGCGTAACTGCTAAACCCAACACGCAACAAGCTATACATGAACACAAAACAACAAACAACTGATGGGGAATCAGGCCGGTAGTTGGGTAAAACTGCGTCTTCTCTATTCCGTGGAAGACCTGCATTTTTAGGACTCTGAAGCTTGAACTGTTATGGGGACACCTTTGTAACAACAGGGGAACATACATTCTGACGAGCTCAACGCGCCATACAGCTGCAGTTTCGAACGCTACAAGCTCCCAAGAAAGTTTTGAAATTTGATCAATTCCAGGGACATTTTAAGGAGATTAGGGGCCAAAGCTTCATTAGTTTCATAGTACACTGAAAAAAAACTTGTGTTGAAACAACACAAACTTGTGTTGTTTTCAACACAAGTTAGGTGTCTCTATTTAACAACACAAACTTGTGTTGAAACAACACAAACTTGTGTTAAATGTTGAAACAACACAAAACTTGTGTTAAATTGGATCAAATAACACAAGCTTGTGTTGAAACTTGTGTGAAAATCTACACATTACTTGTGTTGAAATTTCTGAAACTTGTGTTGAAATTTTTGAAACTTGTGTTGAAATTTTTGAAACTTGTGTTGAAATTTTTGAAACTTGTGTTGAAACTTGTGTGAAAATCTACACATTACTTGTGTTAAAATTTCTGAAACTTGTGTTTCATATAAACTTGTATTACGAACCAACAAATTTCCCCATGTAATAGCAACCCTCCTTTTGTTCTGTTCAGCTGTAATGTTTGATAAATAACATAATATATTTTTTTTTGGTTAAATTATGATTTATTCAAAAAAATATAGAAAAACCAATACAATGCCAATTCAATACTAAATATACTTAACTGCACTAAATATACGAAGTTTAATCAAAAAAGTAAAATACTTATATAATTTTATTGTACAATGACAACCGGCTCCCCCCCCCCCCCCCCGCCAATCATAAAATTAAAATAAAAATAAAACATATATAATAAGCACTGACAAGACTGAAATGCACAAATAAAGCACTAATAAGATAACTAATTATGAATTCAATTGAAATATGTTTGAAAAATAAAAAACAAACATGGAATATAATAGAATTTACAAAATATTTACAGAGTTTTAAGAAGTTATATATTGATATAGGACCCTCTCCAAATTCAAAAACAAATACAAAATGAAACTTATACATGAAAAGAGCACCCATAGAATAACAAATAAGTACAAGGATTAAAGGTTATTAAAAAAATAAATGAAACATAAATAAGGTAGAAAATTGCTAATATTTACATACAGGTCACACAACCTGTGGGACAGAGGACCTGGTAAGGCACAAGTAATCATTTACATAGAACGGAAAACCAAGGTCCTGTATACACACTGACATGCACTTAAAAGTAAAAGAATCTTTAACAATTGATACAAGAGTAGACAACAGCATTGCTGTTTGGGCAAAACTACTCTCATAGCAAACTGCATGTTAATGCCCATCTTCAATACCCCAGTTGGAGTATAAAAGTATTACGTAGATACCAATTTCATTTCAAAAGCAAGGTAAAGTCGCTCAATATTTTCCATAATGTACAAAATTAAAAAAATGAATTAGAATTCAATATTGGTCAATTTGAATCAATATCGATGTTGTTATGTTGAGGTGAAAATATAGGAATCTAATATCCAATATTTAAGACACAATTTATATTTCATAATGGTGATATTTTGTAATGAACAAGTAAAACAGATTATACATGACAATGTCGTAATAATTAGTAAAGGCGGATTCACAAACAACAAAATAATAATAAAAAAAGCATGAAGAATGGATTAAGCTTGCATAAACAAGTGCCGTTCAATTTAAACAGTTCATATATTTCATGAACATAATTAGAAAGTACAATAAGTTTTTCAAAAATTTAAGTCATATATTCATATTATATTATTAATTGTGCTTTTAAAACTATTTTCTTTTTTTTCAATATTCGAAATGAAGCTCAAGGTTTAAATTTGATCTACCGGTAAATGCGTGTTTAATATTTTACAATTTCGGACCAAATTCTGAGTGCTTTCGAGGTAACAGTGCAGTCAATGGTGTACATAAAATTCTGTATAGAATTAAAAGCTACTTGTGTTTGTGGAGGGTACTTAACATTAAAAACAAAAAAAGATTTAAATAAAAGGTCAAAAGCCACAGATAAAAATTTAGAATTCACAATGACAGCATTTTTTTCCATAATTATAAAAAAGTTTGAAGGTTTAATATTAAGTATATATGGCTGGGTTCGCTGATTGTTATCTGAACTTAAATATTCTTCTAATGATGTTCCTATCTGAAAAATAAAAAAAATAAACTTTCTATAATGCACAATGTTTAAATAAACAAACATTTTGCCATATATTGAGTGTTTATGTGGTTTCAATTCTGCATAACATTTTTGCTCAATTAGGTCAGAACCAGAACAAAAGTCTTGAAATTTGGGACTAAAAAAGAAATTTTTATTATGGTTGCGTAGGAATCTTTAACATTTACCACCGATTTGTACAAAAATGAAATTAGCTATAGGGAAGTACTGTTCAGCTCCGACTGGGCTAATGAAGCCATACAGCTAGCCAGCGTCCTACCATGTCCCCCCCCCCCCCCGCCCACACACACACCTATTTGTACACCATATTGCAACAGCAAACACCATCTTACCAACTAGTGGTTCAAACACTATTAAACAGACCAACTACCATTTGCATATAAGTCAGCCATAGCTTATGTTTTTGTCATTTCGATTAGAATACAGGCTTTTCATATTCGTGAATCAATGATCTTAATATGGATATTAAGCAATTCTTACCGGCACTTCTTCAATAATGCATTTCATTGCATCTGATGTTGACACTCTGTATCGTCCCATAGTTGGTAACAGAGTTACTATACATCGTATCATTTTCAGTGTTGCTTGGTCTGAAAGTTGAGATAAAGTATTAATGATTCATTTCCTAGTTTTATGAGTGCATAAATTTCACAATTCTCATGTCAGCATTAAGAAGTGATAGTCAAAATATTATGTCCCTATTTGAAGGCAAATGATCATCAAATATACTGTTCTGTTCTGACTGGGCTAATGAAGACAGACATACACCATACAGTGTGCTATGAGGGAAATGTTGCCCGGACAGCGGCACTAAGGCATACCCTTAAATCGAATTCCAAATGCCAAAGGATATTTTATGTGCACACCCAAGGCTCTACACAGCATTGTGCAAACATAAGTAAATTTTCAAAACCACTAGCCAAACAAAATTTTCAGTTGCCAAGTCTGAAGATTAGAATAATTTGTCGTATGATATAGCTAAATTATATTGTGAACATACATAACTCGTCGTCCTATAATAATAATAAAAAAAGATGTTTTAAACATTTTTTTCCGACTGGGACTCACTGCGAGACTAAGAGGGCGGTCAGCGAAGCTTGTAATTTTGCTTGTTTGGGTGGTGTAGCGTCAGTAGCATGACTATCATCATTTTTCCCCAACTGAGACTCACTGCGAGACGAAGTTACTTTACTAGTAAAGTAAGACGATATAGGTTTGATTCGTCTGCTAGCCATGCTGTCAGCTGTCTCGCAAACTTCTGATAAATACAGCGCATTCGCAATGAGAATTTCCTCGCAGAGGACAATGAGATTGACCCAATTTCAAACCAGGAAAGTAACAAGAGTGACATTTGACTGGGATCATTGCCGATTACGTTATCTTTACGGAGTAAAGTTCAGATAGCTATAGTGTTAATTGGGGACTTCAAGATATATGTTCACTCGCCAGAAACCTAGCATTTATAAATATCTGGTCGCCATTGTCAAAATTCACAGGACCTTGGTTTTTCATCCCAGCCAAAGAACTAGACTGCTGTCGTTGTCAGGCCCTCCGTCATGCACCACTGACAAGCAAAAATCATGCCAAAAAGTCACTATGAACTTTGTCTGCCAACACCGGGAGCTCACAACAAATAGCTACTCTTAATCATAAGAAAAATGCATGAAAATAGGTCATCTACTCACTTGGATCATATTGTGTCTCCAAATCAAGATTGCCTACTACATCAGGGCAGCGTCCATTTGTTTGGCAATATGTTATTATTTTTTTGGCCCATTCATTTTCAATTTCTACAGAAGTCTGACAGCAATCAGGATACAATCTTTTAAAATCTATTGAAATCTGAAAAAAATTTGAAAGGTAAAAATATTTCCATCATACTCCTAATTTACTGTAAAAATACACACATAAATGTATTTTGTTGTTCCCCGTCCATTTGAAGAAAGCAGGGGACTATTAAAATGGGTTCGTCCGCCTGTCTGTCGGTCCGTCACAAAATAACTATCTAATTGAGCTAGAGTGTTTATTAGGTCAATGCCTTGATGGAGTTCAAAGATGAGCATTTTCTGCTTAGGGTAAGTAGAGATAAGCAATTTGATTGGTTGATGATTTGGGACACGATAACTTTTAGTTCTAATTAAGTGAGAGTGAAGAAACTTGGTGTATAGCTTTATTACACCAATACCTTGACTAAGTTCGATAATGAACGTTTTTTGCTCAGGGTAAGCAGAGCGATAAGCAATTTGATTGGTCGAGACTTGTTGGCTTGTTTTCTTACAAGCAATGACATTAATCTTATTTATCTCATAAATCCTTTGTTTCATTTTAATTTCATATGCCTAGTGACTTGTATTGAACTTTCTTGACTATCCAAATACTTACCAAATCTGGTGTATCAACATATCTGGGATAATCGGAAAGAATCTCTCTCAGAGACGGAGAGCCTTTCTTAATCCATTTCTGTCGGTTATTAAACGTCGCTGCCATGGCATCAGCGATTTCCTTGAAATTTCT